GAGTTTCGGGTTGTGCATAGTTGGGCTTCGATTTGTGCATGGTTGTGCTCCAGAGGTTGTCTGTTCAGTTTGTTCATGCTAGGCTTGAGGTTACACAACTGGTCGGGGTCTGGTTACACAAGTGGCGGAGCTTCGGTTACACAACTAGTCGGGGTCCGGTTACACAACTGGCAGGGCTTCGGTTACACAACTGGTCGGGCTCCGGTTAAATAACTGGTCGGGCTCCGGATGTGTCACTTGAGTTTCGGGTTGTGCATAGTTGGGCTTCGATTCGTGCATGGTTGTGCTTCAAAGGTTGTCTGTTCAGTTTGTTCATGCTAGGCTTGAGGTTATACAACTAGTCGGGGTCCGGTTACACAACTGGTCAGGGTTCGGTTACACAACTGGTCGGGATCCGGTTACACAACTGGTCAGGGTTCGGTTACACAACTGGTCGGGATCCGGTTACACAACTGGTCGGGGTCGTTACACAACTGGTCGGGCTCCGGTTACACAGCTGGCAGGGCTTTGGTTACACAACTCATCGGGGTCAGGTTACACAACTGGTCGGGGTCCGGTTACACAACTGGTAGGGCTTTGGTTACACAACTGGTCGGGCTCCGGTTAACTAACTGGTCGGGCTCCGGTTAAATAACTGGTCGGGCTCCGGTTAAAAAACTGGTCGGGCTCCGGTTACTTAACTGGTCGGGCTCCGGTTACTTAACTGGTCGGGCTCCGGGGGTGTCACTTGGGCTGTAGGTTGTGCATGGTCGGGCTTCGGTTCATGCATGGTTGTGCTCCAGAGGTTGTTCGGTTCGTTCATGCTAGGTTTGCGGTTACACAACTGGTCGGGCTCCGGGGGTGTCACTTGGGCTCTAGGTTGTGCATGGTCGGGCTTCAGTTCGTGCATGGTTGTGCTCCAGAGGTTGTTTGTTCGGTTCGTTTATGCTAGGCTTGCGGTTACACAACTGATCAGGGTCCGGTTACACAACTGGTCGGGCTACGGTTACACAACTGGTCGGGCTCCGGTTAAATAACTGGTCGGGCTCCGGATGTGTCACTTGAGCTTCGGGTTGTGCATAGTTGGGCTTCGATTCGTGCATGGTTGTGCTCCAGAGGTTGTTCGGTTCGTTCATGCTAGGTTTGCGGTTACACAACTGGTCGGGCTCCGGGGGTGTCACTTGGCTGTAGGTTGTGCATGGTCGGGCTTCGGTTCGTGCATGGTTGTGCTCCAGAGGTTGTTCGGTTCGTTCATGCTAGGCTTGCGGTTACACAACTGATCAGGGTCCGGTTACACAACTGGTCGGGCTCCGGTTACACAACTGGTCGGGCTCCGGTTAAATAACTGGTCGGGCTCCGGATGTGTCACTTGAGCTTCGGGTTGTGCATAGTTGGGCTTCGATTCGTGCATGGTTGTGCTCCAGAGGTTGTTCGATTCGTTCATGCTAGGTTTGCGGTTACACAACTGGTCGGGCTCCGGGGGTGTCACTTACGCTGTAGGTTGTGCATGGTCGGGCTTCGGTTCGTGCATGGTTGTGCTCCAGAGGTTGTTCGGTTCGTTCATGCTAGGCTTGCGGTTACACAACTGATCAGGGTCCGGTTACACAAATGGTCGGGCTCCGGTTACACAACTGGTCGGGCTCCGGTTAAATAACTGGTCGGGCTCCGGATGTGTCACTTGAGTTTCGGGTTGTGCATAGTTGGGCTTTGATTCGTGCATGGTTGTGCTCCAGAGGTTGTCTGTTAAGTTTGTTCATGCTAGGCTTGAGGTTATGCAACTGGTCGGGGTCTGGTTACACAAGTGGCGGAGCTTCGGTTACACAACTGGTCGGGGTCCGGTTACACAACTGGCCGGGGTTCGATTACACAACTCATCGGGGTCAGGTTACACAACTGGTGGGGCTTCGGTTACACAACTGGTCGGGGTCCGGATACACAGCTGGCAGGGCTTCGGTTACACAACTCATCGAGGTCAGGTTACACAACTGGTGGGGCTTCGGTTACACAACTGGTTGGGGTCCAGATACACAGCTGGCAGGGCTTCGGTTACACAACTCATCGGTGTCAGGTTACACAACTAGTGGGGCTTCGGTTACACAACTGGTCGGGGTCCGGTTACACAACTGGTAGGGCTTTGGTTACACAACTGGTCGGGCTCCGGTTAACTAACTGGTCGGGCTCCGGTTAAATAACTGGTCGGGCTCCGGTTACTTAACTGGTCGGGCTCCGGGGGTGTCACTTGGGCTGTAGATTGTGCATGATCGGGCTTCGGTTCGTGCATGGTTGTGCTCCAGAAGTTGTTTGTTCGGTTCGTTCATGCTAGGCTTGTGGTTACACAACTGATCAGGGTCCTGTTACACAACTGGTCGGGCTCCGGTTACACAACTGGTCGGGCTCCGGTTAAATAACTGGTCGGGCTCCGGATGTGTCACTTGAGCTTCGGGTTGTGCATAGTTGGGCTTTGATTCGTGCATAGTTGTGCTCCAGAGGTTGTCTGTTCAGTTTGTTCATGCTAGGCTTGAGGTTATACAACTGGTCAGGGTCTGGTTACACAAGTGGCGGAGCTTCGGTTACACAACTGGTCAGGGTCCGGTTACACAACTGGTCGGGGTTCGGTTACACAACTGGCAGGGCTTCGGTTACACAACTGGCAGGGCTTCGGTTACACAACTCATCGGGGTCAGGTTACACAACTGGTGGGGCTTCGGTTACACAACTGGTCAGGGTCCGGTTACACAACTGGTGGGGCTTTGGTTACACAACTGGTCGGGCTCCGGTTAACTAACTGGTCGGGCTCCGGTTAAAAAACTGGTCGGGCTCCGGTTACTTAACTGGTCGGGCTCCGGGGGTGTCACTTGGGCTGTAGGTTGTGCATGGTCGGGCTTCGATTCGTGCATGGTTGTGCTCCAGAGGTTGTTTGTTCGGTTCGTTCATGCTAGGCTTGCGGTTACACAACTGATCAGGGTCCGGTTACACAACTGGTCGGGCTCCGGTTACACAACTGGTCGGGCTCCGGTTAAATAACTGGTCGGGCTCCGGATGTGTCACTTGAGTTTCGGGTTGTGCATAGTTGGGCTTCGATTCGTGCATGGTTGTGCTCCAGAGGTTGTCTGTTCAGTTTGTTCATGCTAGGCTTGTGGTTATACAACTGGTCGGGGTCTGGTTACACAAGTGGCGGGGCTTCAGTTACAGAACTGGTCGGGCTCCGGTTACACAACTGGCAGGGCTTCGGTTACACAACTCATCGGGGTCAGGTTACACAACTGGTGGGGCTTCGGTTACACAACTGGTCGGGGTCCGGTTACACAACTGGTAGGGCTTCGGTTACACAACTGGTCGGGCTCCGGTTAACTAACTGGTCGGGCTCCGGTTAAATAACTGGTCGGGCTCCGGTTACTTAACTGGTCGGGCTCCGGGGGTGTCACTTGGGCTGTAGGTTGTGCATGGTCGGGCTTCGGTTTGTGCATGGTTGTGCTCCAGAGGTTGTTTGTTCGGTTCGTTCATGCTAGGCTTGCAGTTACACAACTGATCAGGGTCCGGTTACACAACTGGTCGGGCTCCGGTTACACAACTGGTCGGGCTCCGGTTAAATAACTGGTCGGGCTCCGGATGTGTCACTTGAGTTTCGGGTTGTGCATAGTTGGGCTTCGATTCGTGCATGGTTGTGCTCCAGAGGTTGTCTGTTCAGTTTGTTCATGCTAGGCTTGTGGTTATACAACTGGTCGGGGTCTGGTTACACAAGTGGCGGGGCTTCAGTTACACAACTGGTCGGGGTCCGGTTACACAACTGGCAGGGCTTCGGTTACACAACTCATCGGGGTCAGGTTACACAACTGGTCGGGGTCCGGTTACACAACTGGTAGGGCTTTGGTTACACAACTGGTCGGGCTCCGGTTAACTAACTGGTCGGGCTCCGGTTAAATAACTGGTCGGGCTCCGGTTACTTAACTGGTCGGGCTCCGGGGGTGTCACTTGAGCTGTAGGTTGTGCATGGTCGGGCTTCGGTTCGTGCATGGTTGTGCTCCAGAGGTTGTTTGTTCGGTTCGTTCATGCTAGGCTTGCAGTTACACAACTGGTCGGCGTTTGGTTACCCAACTGGTCGGGCTTCAGTTACACATCTGGTCGGGCTCCGGTTACACAACTGGTCGTGCTTCAGGGTGCACAAATAACCACCACTCGCTGGTTGAATAGGCGATGGTTAATGAACTATCCACCTCAGGCGGCAAAAAATCAATGAAGTGTGCAACTACGGTCTAGTTGAAAACATTGCAAATAATCCAATAGATTATTGCAGTTGTATTGTTTGCACCATCTTGAGTCTATTTGTTCTCTAATATGAGACAATGCCCTTGCTGATAGATAATAAGATATACACCAGTATAAACATGTCAGCCCACATATAATATCTATATAATAATATTAACAATAATAATAATAATGTTTATTCAGGTAAAAGTAAATACATTATATATATATATATATATATATATATATATATATATATATATATATATATATATATATATATATATATATATATATATATATATATATATATATATATACATATACATATGTCCATGACATCACTCACCTTCATTTAATAACTGTGTGTTTAAGTAGAAAATTTTACTTTGTTAATGACATTATATTGAGGTATTAATATTAAGCAATGAAATATACGAAACGTACTAGTTTTGTGTCCAAAATAATAAAAATCTATGTACACTCTGTCTTCTGTACCAAGTGACTCGCAGCGTTATAAACTTATGGAACTGCCTACCCGCCTAAGCCGTAAATGCCCAAACTCTCTTCGATCCAGCATCAGGTCAAATAGAGGGGAAGGGGGGGGGTCTTTTGACAAGCCGGCGACTTCTTGTCCTTGTCGAGGCCACTAGAGAGATAGTGACCCTCAGGTAAATTAATTTTTTCTCTCCTCGACTCCTGTAAACCAAGGGGGTGGTATATACAGTCCCGTGCTGTAGCTGCCTCTAACCCAACAACAACAAACGCTGCTTCTACAAGTATTTACAAATCTTCTTTGAAACTGCACGTATTTACTTTTCGTTTCGCGAGGGATTTGGTTGGGGAGGATTGACCAGGTGCCATTTCTTAACTGTAGCCTCTGTTCACCCAGCAGTGACTGGGTACCTGGTTGGTAAATGTTTTGGCGGGTTGTACCAGGGAAAATTAAGATTTAAAACTTGCCTGAATTTTCTTAAGGAAATTAAGACTTGCCCGAAACTCAATGCGTTCTTACATTCTGCCTTTACTAAAATATAAGAACTCGTGTATATGTAACAAAAAAATATGGTAGAGTACTGGTGCCATGAACTGCAAGCAGCAGTGTTTGGCCACTAAAACATGCATACAGTATATTTCAAAATCGGCTGAAAAGGGTACAAATCTTACCTAGAACACCTTAATACCTTATAAATATATATTAAACCTTAATGTTTAATGGTTCTCATAAAAGAAATTGCAAAGCACGAGGTGGCTTATGGTGCAAGGATACAAGTCGCCTCCTCGTACCCAGACAGTTTCCCCAACATATAAGCCTTGTTATCAGGTGCCGGAGGCCTGCGTTTACAGTAGGTATATGTATTTTAGGCATGTATGAAGGTCCCTCGTAGGTTAAACTACTGACCTTTCCCAGAATGCAACTGCAGGAAAGTTAGCTAACTCTGAGATACATATTTAATGCCTGGTAAACAGACACATTAGGTGAAAGGATACATGCCCAACCATTTCTGTCCTACCCAGAAATTGAACCCAGGATCCACAATTTTTAATAGAGAACGAAGCCAACTTTGGCAGGGGCACTAATGTGCCCCTGCCAAAGTTATAAACTTGCCTAACCTTATCCAGCCTAACATAACACAATCTAACCTGACGATGTATGTGGTTTTGATAATAAAAAAATGAGCTTTGTCGAACTGCTGGTGTATGACTTGACTATACCCCTGGTGCTCAGCCAGGGGTATATGTAATGTAATTATTGGAATTACTGGTATATAATATTATTACATACAATACTAGAATTAGTATGTAATTATTGGATTGTTGCATAAGTGTTAAAAGGATATTTGGTATACTATAAATTGTAATACTGTACTGTACATGAGAATGAAGTGCAATAGCACACTAATCAATGAAGCTAATAACCCACTATTTTGAATACATGAGGAAATGTAAACTGTATATTTTGGTCCCAACCCGGGAGCCTCTTCAGGAGTGCTGAAAAGGATCCTGGGTTGGAATCCTTGTTCCTTCATTTCAAGATGTGTGGGTTTTGAATTAACACTTCAGCCATGTTATGTTGAGTAATCTGCAAGACTGCTCAGCTTAGGCTTAGTTATAAGTATCTCTGATAAATTACAACAGTTGCTAATGTAGATTGGACCAAATGTAAATGGGACCAACAAACCAATTTGCATGCCCTTCATCATTGTCATTATTCAGTATATGAAAGTGGTTAAAATTTAGAGGCAATGTCAAAATATTTAGTAAAAAAAATTAATTCCAAAATATCCATAGTGTGTACTCATCTAGTTGTACAGTACTCACTTAGTTGCGCTTGCAGGGGGTTGAACTGAAGCTCAACCCCCTGCAAGCTTCAGCTCAACCCCAGACTGGAGCTGCATACTCTAGGATTGGTCTGACATATGGGGTATACAAGGTTTTGAATGATTCCTTACACAAGTTTCTAAAGGCAGTTCTTATCTTGGCCAATCTAGCATATGCCGCTGATAATGTTCTTTTGATGTGGGCTTCTGGACACAGGTTCGGTGTGAAATTAACTGTCGTACTGTACAACAGTTCTCTTCTTATTTCAGATGTATCCTGCGGTGCAAACTTTAAGAAGGTCCATTTTAGTTGGATGCTTCTCACACCATGCATGTCACAAATTACGTATCCAGTTGTGCAGAGCCTATACTTCACGCAACATATTAAAGCTTGATGAAAGAGGACTTTGGGCTGATCGGTTTCCTGACTCGAAGTAAGTACAAAAATGTGTTTATTGGGAAGAATGGTGGAGGGGAGGACCTAGCATTCTGCATTGAAACTGACTGAAAACAGATTGTTATTGATAAAGTGAAAAGTTGCCTGTAGCAGTACCTCCTCATTCCTCAAAGTTGCCTGCAGTAGTGCCTCCACATTCCTCAAAGTTGCCTGCAGCAGTGCCTCCTCATTCCTCAAAGTTGCCTGCAGCAGTACCTCCTCATTCCTCAAAGTTGCCTGCAGCAGTGCCTCCACATTCCTCAAAGTTGCCTGCAGCAGTGCCTCCACATTCCTCAAAGTTGCCTGCAGCAGTACCTCCTCATTCCTTAAAGTTGCCTGCAGCAGTACCTCCTCATTCCTTAAAGTTGCCTGCAGCAGTGCCTCCACATTCCTCAAAGTTGCCTGCAGCAGTGCCTCCACATTCCTCAAAGTTGCCTGCAGCAGTGCCTCCACATTCCTCAAAGTTGCCTGCAGCAGTGCCTCTCTCATTCCTCAAAGTTGCCTGCTCTTGGAAATATTTGTGGTATTGTAGATATTAATTAATTGAACATATTTCTAAATAGAACACTGAACTTCTATAAGACATGCACCTCCTGGCTAACCTAATAAATCACTACAAATGGGCTAAACACCCTCATAACTTGATAAAACTGAGAGCCAAATCAGAGAAAAACGTGCATGCGTTAATTGATATAATAGATAATTGATATTGTAACTATTTCAACACGATCAACAAATGCACACACTAAACTACTTATGATTTGGCTCTCAATTTTATAAACTATTTCATCACGGCAAAAGTGTTTTGAATTACCACTGTGCTTGACAATTTAATAATGAAATTACTTCAACCAGAACCATTCTCCAGCATGATTCCCAGCCCTGTGTTTTGCTATGTTGCTTGTTTTAATCATCACACACTTGTAAATACTGTTTTAACCCGGAGAGATTCAGGAACAAACTTCATGTAGTAGAACCTTGTTTACCAGTGTTTCCCACCAATTTTTTTTTTATTCTTGGCTCTATTTTCTAATACAGTACTGTATTGTATTCAAAAGACCAGTGACCCCCTGTCACACTATCATACTTGACACAAATTGCCCCTAATGTTTTGGGACTTGCAGCCCTATTTTCTAATACAGGTACTTAAAAGACCTGCAACCTCTTTGCCAGGCTTCCGTAATTGAAAAAATTGGCTAGTATGAATATTCACAAGTTGCTAATTTTCGATGATTTAGATATACGGTACAGCATTAGCACTAGGAATTTAGGTTTCATGGCCCTGCAGAAAACATTTCCGTCCCAACTGGGAGTCGTAACCCACTAGTTACGAACCACTGTTCTATACAGTTTATAATAAATTTAAATAGATGACTTCTCTTCCTATACACAAAAGTCTCAAGATCTTTCTTGATTAAAAGTTCAAAGGCTACCGAAAACGTACATTCATTTTACTTGCATCATGAAAATACAGAACAAAATGAGTCATGGTCATTAGAATCAATTGCTTCCTAAACGTTTGAAAATCTTATACAGTACTGTATATTTGTTTAGAGGAACCAGAATGTCATCATAATAACACCAACAAGACAGAACCCAAACAAACATGAGCAATATATTCTCTGTACATTACGAATGCCAAACATAACTAAAACCTACCATAAAATCAATAGAGGAGTAAAATTAACAGCAAGAAGATCACCATTGCAGGTGTTTTCAAAATGGCTTGTAATAAGTGTGAAAAAATATACCTAGGAAGTACTGGCACTTTGGTAATTACACTTACACTTGGGTAATTACATGTAACAACTTAGGTAATTACATTTGCTTACCCTATCAGTAACTCCAATACTGGCTTCATGGCACAAGCAAGATGCTTCGAGGATGCCAAAATCGTCATTAAATAAGAAAACACTTTCAAAGAATAGCTGATCAGCTGGGCTGTGGCTCATATGTCAGCCTAGGAGCAGCTGTCTTAACAGCTTGGTTGACCAGATTACTAACCAGGAAGCCTGATCATAGACTGGGCCATGGGAGACATTGATCTCCAGAACCAGCACAATCTGCAGTCACCAAATATTTCATCATACAATAATCAAGACAAATCAGTGAAAATTCAGTATTGCTGCCCCTCTTCCTAAACTCACAATACAAAATATGAATTGTTGCTTAATCTACCAACCTAAGTGCCCATAACCTCACATTTGTTTCCATTTATTAAGCACTATTCCTGTGCTACATTTAACACTTTCGCGCTCTCCGCAAAGGTCACTCAGTCAACCGAATGTGCGCGCTGCGTTTTTATCGCTTAAGCATTAAAACAAAAATATGTATACTCTTTTTACTCTTCTGACCTTAGTTCTCATGCTACGTATTTCATTTCGGTACCAACGTGTTCGCAATAAAATTCTCTAGAAGAACATTAGTAAAATAAGTCACGAAACATAAAGTGTATAGGGATACCAACACCAAATAAATAACTACGTAGATGACTCGCCGTGAGCGCCCATCAGCAACAAAATGTTTTTACTCTTGGGATTGTAATCACCTCCACACTTGTTCTACAGCGTTAATTTTGGTATCAATGGACTCGCAATGAAATTCCCAACACGGTGATATGAATATAAGCGTAGAATAATGATGCAGCCCGCCCGCAAGAGTGTGGGAAGTGGTGAAATTGTTACCCGGTATCGGTGACGGGACGACGCACGGCGCTTTGAAAGTTTATACTTATTTCACTCTCATGACATTAATTTTCTATGTACGTCATTCATTTTTATGTCAATGTGTTCGCAATAGAATGTTCTATGTGCCCATAGGTAAAAAATATCAACAAAGCGTAAGTTAGAATAGCGACAAATATAAAACAACGCTGGAACATATCAGTGAGCGTCAAACACACACGAAATATTTTTACTTTTGTTATGTTTGTCAAGATTATACTTGTTGCACACAGTTATTTTTGGTTGTATATTGATCGGAATAAAATTCCCTAAACAGACATATGCATATAATACATGATATGGGGGAAGAATTACCAGTATAAACGGCTAAAGTCACCCACCTGCAACCCGTTTGGGACAAAATACCATTTGATCGAAGTTATCCACACCTTTCATGAACTTATTGTACCATGCAGCCTAGTGGTGAGAAAGAGAGCCTCATAGCGCGCAGTTTGAAACAAACCCAAAGTAAATCAGATAAAAATTGAATTTTATACAAATATTTTAAAAGTAGACATAACTTTATGTCCACTATGCGTTTACGTTAGACGAAACCGAACGCGCCGGCGCGTCCAGATAGCGCGAAAGTGTTAATAAAGCCAGTACAGGCAAAACATCATCTTCATTATTGCCAACACTCAGCTAGACATCTCTACATGCAAGAGTGATGCCAGAATAAAGAAACTCAGCTATGAAGACAGCTTAGGGGTGTTTAATCTAACAACTCTAAAATAGAAAGACAAGAAGTGAGTTGGTCACAAAATTAAGATACTGAAGGGAAAGTGAAGGTGGGCAAGGTTAGTGTATTACAAGAGGGAAATAGAATGAAGGTTGAACAGGTGAAAATAGGAAATACAAGTGAGTAGGATAGATGGAAGAAAGCACTCCAGTATGTGCGGTCCATGGCGTGTGCTTGGGAGGACCCAGAGAATTGGTTTGACTCCTCCTTGTGGCTCCTATGGATTTTTTCAATATAAAATTATTTAGGAGCAGGGTTGATAGAGCCCTAGAACTTTGAGGGGAATAAGTGCAAAAGGTACATGAGGCTTCATAGTTACATCTCACGAGATATTTTTGTTATAATGTATGTACCGTAGTGTGAAATAGCCTGGTATAGTATAGGGAATACCATCTCTATTCAACTGCAGTCAAAAGAAATCTAATTTTGTTTCCGATTTTCACCATCTTTCACAATGCCATTATTTCGTGTTTTTTAATGAATGCTTGTATTATACTATTTTCAGTACCAACAAGCTAATTGAGGACCTGATCACAAGAACTCAGACAATATACAGTGGGTTTGATCCCACAGCTGACTCATTGCATGTAGGAAATTTGCTGGTTTTGATGGCCCTTCTTCATTGCCAGAGGGCTGGACACAATGTTATTGCTCTGGTAAGTTAAGCCGCTTGTCATTTTTTCTGCAATATAAAATAAATTACCAACAATAATGAAACAGTTGTTAGATGCCTTTATTTTTGTAACTTAACTGGCTAACAGTTAACTGTTGTTATTTTGATTTGGTGCCAGCCAGGGATGTGCTTTGACAATTTAAGAATTATAAGATATGATTCCATAGCAATACTCCTGCTGTTCGTGCCCTAATTATGATATACACGTAATTGTAATTATCCCATGAAGGGAAAGTATAATTCAAAGGAAAGCCTCATTACCACTTTCTCATCTTATGAAAGTGGTAATGAGGTAATGATAATTAAATTTATTTATTTATGTACAGAATGTGTGACTAATATTTCTGAGATTTAAAGTGCAATATTTGTTTAATTTTGTAATGCTGCTTTCTTTTGTATGAAAATGTAATGTTAATGCTAAATTTTATATTATAGGTTGGAGGGGCAACAGGACAAGTGGGCGACCCAAGTGGCAGAAGTAGTGAACGACCTTTGCTACACATAGATGAAATAAATAACAATGCAGATAAAATTGCAGAGAATATTCAGTGCATATTTGACAACCACAAGCAGTTTTTCTGGAAAGGAGGCAATGACAAGTTATTGCCACAATTAAGGTACAGTATACTGTAAAATAATGTAAATGGTTATTCACTGAAGCTTTAATCAGTTTTTTACAAAGTATTTACTATAAGAGCTCACTCGTCTCAACCCTATTAACCTAGACCTTTGGGTAATGCAGACAAAAAATCGAATCTGACTTTTGTCTACCAAACTGTCAAACTTGGACAGAAATCCGGATTACCGAGAATTTCGGTCGGGTTACTGAATGACATCGGGAGACCTTTGCTTGCCAGGAAGCCAAGGGCCTTCAACCAGTGATGCCTCAACAGCTGGCAGTCAAAACTGACCTTGCACAGCTCATGTACACTTTTATACGCAGGTCATTTTGTGATGTTTATTTCTTAATTTGTCTTAAAATACATGTTAAGAAAGCTAATAGCTTTCTTAACATGTATTTTATCATTTAGGATAAATATCACCCATGAAGATAACTGTACATACATTCACATTTGTTTTTATTGATTACTATAAGGTCATATTTTATATAATGTATATTTACCATATATTGAGAGCTTGTGTGCTTCAGTGTTAAAACAGTTTAAATGTGTTGTCAGAATTGAGAATAACCTTCACTGGTACAGAAGATTAAGTGTGGTGGATTTCCTGCGTGTGACTGGTCGTAATTTACGAATGGGGGATATGCTATCTCGCACCAGTGTACAGTCTCGCCTCAAGTCAGCTGAAGGACTGAGCTTCACAGAATTTTCATATCAGGTACTTCATATAAGATTTCGGTTAATTTTGTATTCTAAGCAAAAATTATGCAGTCAACATCAGGACAAACTTTGTTGAAAATAATCTAGTTTACAAGTTTATGTGTAGACTGTAATCACTGTGTAGTGTATATCATTATACACTACATTTCTGGGTAAAACAGCTGTGGCTGAAATATTTATCAAAATTGTCTTTCATCTTTAATTTTTTTTTGTAGTAATATCACTTGTTACACCATTCAGTATGAAGAATTTGAGTTTAATGTATTCAGTAAGAGCATCAAATCTGCCATGTATTTTGCATTAATTTTCAAATTAAATGGGAAATTTGTTAGCCCTCGTCTATATTCAAACTCGGCCAAATCTGATACTGTTCCCTTCTGGACCAACTGGCTAGAGAGCATTAATAACAGAAACTGGTAGGTTGCCCATGTCGGAACACATCACCCTATGCTTGTGAATTTTAGTAATCACTACCCTATTTGCTGATTTTCTCATCATAGCTTTCCTTCTTAATTTACTTCTCTACATTGTTCATATTCTCAAATTTCAAGCTACCTATCTGTGAATTTATCATTAGTGTTTAGCATCATCTTGTGTTGCAATACATATACGTATCTATATGCTTATGTTTCTAAAATTAATATTGTAAGACAGAAAGCCTATTAGGCTAATCAAGGTTCCTATAGGTCAACAACTAACCTTACTCAGAATGCACCCCACACAATAGGTACCTGTTTACTACTAGATGAATGTAGGTTTGATTGCAAGGAAACATTTCTAAATGACTTTCCCTCCTTGGATATCAGTCTGATTCATTCAGTTGAGAGCTGACTGCACTAATAGCATCAGTACTATTATGTAATTAGAAACTGCCGTATCACAAATTTGATCAAATTGAGTTCAAATGCTTAAACTTTATTGGTATAATTTAGTTATAAATTAATAAGAATTTAGGTTTTGGTATACATAACCAGATTAAACAAATAGCATATGTTTCAGAAAATAAGAGAGTCATCATTTTTACGCATTCTGTTCCAGCATGAATGGAAATTTGTTGGAATATTAAAATATCATATTTACATAGTTCTGCATTGAATGCAGATTACCTAGTTTTGGTAATCAGTATTTTATACATAGTGTAATTTCTTAAGTCATTTTCTTTAGATTTAAGCGCTGTATTGTGTTTGGGTTTTCAGCTTTGTTCTGGTGGCATTTCTAATAGTGTGTGACTTGGATCATTGAAAGTTAAAGGTAGGAAACTATCAGGAGAAAGCTCCAAACCTTTCCAACTATATAGCACTTGGAAGGGATCAGGACAAGGATTTGGGATGGGACGGGTGAAAAGGAATGGTGCCCAACCACTTGGTGGACAGTCGGGGATTGAACGCCGACTTGCTTGAAGCGAGTCCATCACTACCATCCAGCCCAAGTGGTTGGGCCATTGAAAGTTAAATGTAAAATGACTCCCTTTATATTTTCAGGCTCTGCAAGCATACGACTGGCTCTACCTATATGACAAGTATAACTGCAAAATTCAGGTGGGGTGTACATTATTTTTAGTACTGTATTTATATGTTTAAAAAAATTAAAGAATTGTAACTGCTGTTGCAAACTGTTATCATTAGAATCATCATCACTATAGGAAAAGAGGATTAAAGGTATGCTGTACAGTGACATGTAATCTTAGGTATTACCTTCCACTTTAATGAACATTGCATTACATAAGTATATTGAAAGATATATTTGAGTTGGAACTGGGCAATGTCACTATCAGTTCCTGTCTAAAATAGTCATAAATTTGAGTTAAAATATACACCACTCTCCTTATATTTTTACCCTTGCTCCTTAACCCTTTGGCTGCATTTTCAGAATAAAAAAGTTTTCTTAACTAATTTTGCAATGAATTTATAATAGAAAAACAATGATCTTCCCATATTTACAAATTCAATTTTTTTAACACTTTTCTGAAAGGAGTATTAGTGTTGCTGGGGGCCATTGCTGTGTTAAGTGTTCCTCTTCCTGTTGAGTGGGCCCAGCTATTCCCGGGCTCTGTGCCACCTGGCTGTTCCCAAGCTCTGTGCCTTGCTTATGCTGTTACCTGAAGCTTATGCTGAGACATGGCCATACATAAGCATATGATTAATTCCTCCTCTTCTCTCACATAAGTAGACCCCTCTGTCTCTCTTTTTAATATGTTGAAGAGCATCTTGGTTTGGAGACTGAAATATTTAATGTTTCATTTCTGTATTTGTTGGATCTGTGGATTTTTTTATCATATTGACTAGTGTACGATCAAGTGTACAATTTTGCAGCCAGAGGGTAAAGGGAATGAGAGTACTGTACTTGTTTTAAAAAATAGGCAAGTCAATCAGCATGGTATTCCAAATAAAGGAAGAGACTGACTTTGCACCTATGTAGTACAACCACAATTCAATGAACTGTATAGGACAAAATCCAATTCATTGTAGTGATAGATTTGTTGCAACTAGAGATGCCTCCAAGATGCATTTCCCATACCTGTGGGCTAATTTCACTTAGCACATTTGTAATTTCAACCTGTAATATAACAGACAGCTATCAAATGAACTCATCTGGAAACAAAATTAACCACATCTAACTAATTTCTCACATCCCCAACCTCAAAACTCATTTTCAAAAGGTAGCAGGGCCATACATGAGTGAATGAAAACCTTGCCAACTCAAAATGAATTAAGAGTAGTTACCTGATATATCTAATTTTCCCAGACTCTATGGGCTAATTTCACAGAGGGAAATTATAATTTCAACTTGCCATATGAAGGGCAACAATCTAAAAGAGAAAAAGGGAAAAGGGAAACTGTAGAGAGATTTAACCATAGCTTGCAAAAATCCCATGGCCAAGTTTGAAATCTAATTTCCAAAGGAAAAAAAGGCCCATATTTTTACTGAACAAACATCTCTGCAACAAGAAATAAAAAAAAGAATCAGATAATTTGGTTTTAGATATACTCCGTGGCTTTCCCAAGGCCCCAACTATTTCTTGTAATGATGCCTCCATCTGTGAACTTGGTCTCAATATCCTAAATGAATCCACACATCTCCTGTTTTTGCAAACTCTTGTTTGTCGAATCGGGCGAGTAAATCTAGAATAGCAACCTGTCCTTGACTCAAGTCCGTTATATCCAGCGGTCGACCCCACTGATGCATTTATAAATTTTTACATGCTGTTCATTCAAAACAGGAATTTTCTCACATATAAATTAACCTTATAATATACTGTATTAGCATATTGTGCATATATAGGCATAGGTTAGGTTAGGTGTTTAGGTTCTGTTGGCGATTATTTGTATTTGTAGAACGTGGGTGAAGCATTTATAGCATTGTGGTTTGAACAAAATTTGTCAGTGAAGCCCTTGTTCCGGAAGTGTTCAAACGTTATCAGTTGAGTCATGTGTAAACCATTTCATTCATAAACAGGGGGTTTAGCAGGTGCTTGGAATCACTTTTGGGTCTTTGTTTGGAGGATTGGCTGAAAATGGAAAGTGTGTGTTCCAACTAGAGATTCGCAGAATCAAGGTTCATTGAATGAAGGCTCCACTGTACTCTTGTTTGTTTCTCAATTAATAAATTATATGTATATCTTCATGGAAAAAGTAAGGAAGTAGTTTTATAGAATGAACGACAAATACAAGCATGTGATAATAGGCTTAGGTATTTATAATGAAGTTGCTTGGTGTGTGTGTGTGTGGAGGTAATGGCAAGATACTCTGTTGCAGTGAAGAAAATACTACAGAATAGATATTGGATGTATCTGAATATAATTTCATGTGCATAATGAACTTAAGAATAGTTTTCTTTTCTTTTAGATTGGTGGTAATGACCAGATGGGAAATTTTCATTCAGGTTATCAACTAATAAATCGAATACATAATGCTTCTGTAACAGGCAAGTGGTCATGTTTAATTTAAGGCTGGCCCTCAGTAGCCCACTTGCTTCATTAGCTCTGGTACCACAGAGACAACCACAAAACTGCCAGCCTCTGGACTTGTGTAGACCAAATCAAAGCAAACTATATTTGGACTGTATCTAAATGAGCTTCTGGGAGTTCTACTACTCCCCAAGCCCAGCCCAAGGCCAGGCTTAACTTGAGAGCTTGATCCAACAGGCTGTTGCTTGGAGCAGCCTGCACCACATATCCACAACAGCCTGGTTGGTCTGGCACTTTTTTTGACCAACCAAGTCTATTTGTGAAGTAATGTCCAGAATCCAGGACATGACTTCACAAATGGACTTGAATATTTTTGAGGTCAGCTCCATAGGTGCTTCCTAATTGTTATTAGGTGCCAGATTCCTTCATCCACTGCCTCTTTATACGACTTGCTTGTTCAGTTGTGGAGCACTTGTAGTAAACAAAATTTTGCATGGACTGGAATTCGTTGAACTTTCTTCACATCTTTCCTCCAGTCCAGCTCCACTCCGTGTTGGTCAGATTGGATGCGTATGCAAACTGTGTCACTTTGCTGACTCCTCTGTGCCTGGTTCAGCTCTGGATCCCAGCCCATTTCACTCGTTATCCCCGACTTCAGCGATTTCTGGGATACTGCGTCTCCTAGATGACTGGCAGACTGACTTACCTGGAGGGTTCAAGTCTTCCCACTGATCTTTGTGTCTGGAGTTTTTGAGTACAGTAATTTGCAATGCCAACTTTGAGGACCTGATGATGTCTCTCTTAGTGTTACATTTTCCTTTTGTCAGTGTTTTTCATGTGGGTGTTTGGTAGTCTTTCTGGCTTTTCCTTTCTCTTTGCCAATTGTTCTCTATTTATGTGTCAGGAGTCATGTCTTTTCTGTCTTGGCTATATGTGGAATGCCATCTCATGGCTAATACTATACTGTAACTTCCTGCCATTCAGCCTTAGCAGAGCTTCTCTTATTTGCTCTTAAGGTGCATGTTTCATCTCCCTCCCACCCTATCCTCAAGTTGTCCAGGGATGATTTTGTTCCACTAGAGCAGCATTTCTCAACCTCTTTACCTCTAACGGTATGGTAGGTCGGTATGGTATAACGGTATGGTAACTGCACATTACCTTTTGGATATTCCCTGTCCTTACTGAGCCTGTGTGGCACTTGAATGTCTTTCCTGTCTCTTGCATTCATCCTATCCCCAAGCTCTGGGTTTAAGGTTTTTTCACTATACAGTTCAGCTCTTGATCTTTGCATGTTCCTCTAATAATCTGTTTATTATCCTACTACTAGTGCCTAAGGCACTAGTAGGAGGAAGACTGTACTGGCCCTCAGAAGCACGACTGGGAAGCTGTTGAGGGCCAGTACTTAAATCAAGTGTTAAATATAATGAAATGCCTTTTCTAGGTGGCCTCAGTAACTTCCCATACCTACCCACCTTTGCCACCATTTCCTGCTGGAATCTTGGCAGGGGAGGGGAGGGGGAAGTTTGTGGGCAGCAGGCAAGTAAGGCAAACAAGCAGATTGAAACCCTTGAGTGACCTGAGCTTCCATCTGGTGGTGCACTGGGATATTAGTAAAGGATTTGTTGACATTGGGCAAACTACCACATTCCTTATTTTCATCTGTTCTTTCTTTAATCAAGATGCATGGTTTGTTTTGCTTCACCTGTTTTTTCTGGGCAGTTTTACTGTTTTGAGGCTTATATCGGATCTTCATGCTGTCCTTACTTTTTCGAGAACATCAAATTCCGATCCTAGTGTTTGGTAGGCCTGCACAAGTCCAGAGTCTTGGAAGTTTCGTTGATGTCTGTGGTACCACCGCCAATGCACCGGGAAAATGCTATTGAGGCCATATCCATTTCCACTTTTTAAATTAGGAATACAAACATCTGTTTTAATTATACAGTATTTCCATGATTATAGGAAATATTGCATGTTGAAATTGCAGGTAAAGGGAAAATATAGGGTTATGTATGATCTTTTGCAAAAGTTATTGAATTCTATTTTGCTAATTATCAGTAACGTAAATTACTTTCATACCAGTGTACAGTATATGAATTGTAATCCCTTCTACTTGTGCTAGTGTAGTTACTACATAAACAAAACATTTGCCACTCAGTTGCAAGTTTTCTGTACAAAATAAATTGCTATACTGTAATTAGAAAGTTCCTCATAATTAAAAAGATTATTTATGTTTCAGGTCTTACAGTGCCGATCATAACCAATGAAAGTGGTGACAAATTTGGAAAATCTGCAGGAAGTCCTATATGGCTCGACAGCAGCAAAACTTCTCCATTTGATTTGTATCAATTCTTTGTGCGAGTAAAGGATTCAGAGGTTAGTTGGTGCTTTGTACATAGTGATTATGTTCATTAGTTAAATACATTGCAGAAAAAACAAATATTATGGTTTGCCTAGGGTTAGTGAAACCGTGATTCCTCCCAGCCACGATACACACACACTCTTCAGTTAAAATACATCCGTGTATTCTTAGTATGTTGCCTGTATTATTATTTAGGAAACTCCTCTGAAATGTAATGAAGTTGCCTTTACATTGTTGTGCTATAAGACAGAATTATATACAGTAAAGATTGTCCATACTGATCCTCCAGAAAAGTTGGCATTGGTTTGAGTTCTCGTCAGGGTGGACTGGCCTAGGTCTCGCCAGGGTGGACTGGCCTAGGTCTCGCCAGGGTGGACTGGCCTAGGTCTCGCCAGGGTGGACTGGCCTAGGTCTCGCCAGGGTGGACTGGCCTAGGTCTCGCCAGGGTGGACTGGCCTAGGTCTCGCCAGGGTGGACTGGCCTAGGTCTCGCCAGGGTGGACTGGCCTAGGTCTCGCCAGGGTGGACTGGCCTAGGTCTCGCCAGGGTGGACTGGCCTAGGTCTCGCCAGGGTGGACTGGCCTAGGTCTCGCCAGGGTGGACTGGCCTAGGTCTCGCCAGGGTGGACTGGCCTAGGTCTCGCCAGGGTGGACTGGCCTAGGTCTCGCCAGGGTGGACTGGCCTAGGTCTCGCCAGGGTGGACTGGCCTAGGTCTCGCCAGGGTGGACTGGCCTAGGTCTCGCCAGGGTGGACTGCCCTAGGTCTCGCCAGGGTGGACTGCCCTAGGTCTCGCCAGGGTGGACTGCCCTAGGTCTCGCCAGGGTGGACTGCCCTAGGTCTCGCCAGAGTGGACTACCCTAGGTCTCGCCAGAGTGGACTACCCTAGGTCTCACCAGTTGGGTGCTGGTAGTCGTCAGGGTTGGTCAACTGTAAAGTGGCTCTTCAACTCGACTAGATTAAGTAAAATACCTTTTGTACAGGGTGTATGTACCTATGACAGACATTAATACTTTGTTACGTAGTGTAAATTGAATTACATTTTGTAAAACCATTAGTGGATTTTTGCATCATCTGTTTTTATCATTTAAGTACTAAAGTACACATCACTACTAGGTCCCATATACTGAACCAGTCCACTTATATTTAAAATAGTATGTCTGTACAGGGTATGTATGTATGTACAGTATGTGTATCCATTGTTCTATGCATAATGTTGGAATTAGACTGGTGACTGTTAACTGAGTTTCTATATTCCCTATTCCTTGGTTATAAATTTTGTGGTACTGTTAGGTCAACAGGGATTATTTTCTGGGAGACTCGGATAGGGTCATGAGCACTGATCAATGCATTTTAATAGCTGCCCATTCTGAAGAGAGGGCAAGGGAAAATTAGCAAGGACCCTTGTGTTTGGTGGGCAAGTGTGTGTAACACGTACCCATCATTAACTAGTCTCTCTGATGAAGACGATGAGTCACAAATAACACGGCTGAAGAAATGAGGAACAAACCACAACTCAGGAGATGGAGAAGCGATGATGTTTCTGTCCATCCTGGACCATTATTAATTTGTGTGATATTAATTAGTGGTGCTCTTGAGGCATTATTTTATTGCACAGTATACAAAGTTTTTTACAAACCTTTTTTTCATTCATGCAATTATTTTCTTTTTAACCTTTTCAGATTGAAAAATATCTACTTCTGTTGACCTTCCTTCCTGTTACGGACGTAAAAAAAGTTATGGAAAAGCACAAGGTAGGTGAACCACATGATGTTTAATAGTTATGATTAGCTTAAAATATAAAAACTTTTGCATTAACATAAACGTCTTTTGGTCATGACAATATTTTGAATTCAATATTGGAAAGTCTTTTAATAGGACAAACAAACTGAAAATGTATCATTTAACAACTTGCAATGTTCTCATTCTGTGAATTTTTTTTCCATTATTTGCTGATTACCAACAAATGCGTAGGGATTTTTGTACTGTAAATGATAGAACACACAAATAATACATAATGCATTTAAATACAAAAAATATGTAAATAGCATTAAAACTGCATTTCTTAGACTCCACAGATGCTCCTTCAAGCAGAGCCATTATAGTTCATGCAAGATTCCTCTCATCCATTAGGCTCTCATTGACCTTGTTCCTCACTGTAATAATGATCATTGTATATTGTCTTGATGAGGAAATTGGAAATGAGGTGATGACTCAAAGCACCACTTAGGGATCAACTCTGCAATTCAGAAATGAGCAGCATCCTCAATATCTCCTGCAGGCAATAATAAAATGTCAAGAAATGCCAATTACTGTTCTTGTAAATATTTGCTATGAAAGTTACTGCTGGTCATGGTAGCAAAATATCGAGTACAGTACTGTACTCGACAAAGCCTTTTCATGTTGTACTGTAACTGTACATTTATCACTTGGTGTAAATATTTTTTACCAAAACTAGCATTTTTAGGCATTTTAATGTTTTTTTAAATATATAAATGAAAACATCGGGGCCCGACTTCAATTATGATAACTTAGTCCAACAGGATGTTGCTTGGAGCGGCCCACAGTCCCACATATCCACTACAACATGGTTGGTCTGGCACTTCTTGCAGGAACTTGTCTAATTGTTTCTTTCAGATTGGAAGTGTAAACAGCTAAAACCCTGTGAAATGTATTGAAAATGTAGCATTAACAAAACTTAGGTTTGAGCATATTTAAGTCAGTTGCTAGATTTTTACTGCAAAGATTGCCTTCTCTTGAAGTTTGAATAAGTTGTAAGCAAGGATATTTTGTACTCGTCTTGTTGATAGCATATTTTAAATACATTTCAGATTTGTAATCCCTCATGCTTCCAATTTGAGAGCAGGTTAGACCTACACCAAACTCTCTATTTATTTTCACTGCAGTTTTGTATTTTTAAGCTAGGCTATGGCCTTCAGTTGTTTGCAATATGACTTCATTTGATATATTACTAGAGGGAGTACCTAGCATTGCTCAGGTGACACAGGCCACATCTTCTTTACACATCTTCATCACTGTAACCGTCTTTACTACACAACCATCATCACCTTTACACATCTTCATCACTGTAACCATCTTTACTACACAACCATCATCACTATGTCCATATTCTATACAATCATCACTCTTAACCATCTATACCACACATCCTGCAACTCTGTAACCATCTACACTACATATGACTACCCTCATCACTGTATCTATTTTCATTAAATACAGTACTGCCTATCCCTGTAACTACCTCTGTGCCTGCATTATTACTACCCAGGCACCACAGTTGAACCACTGGGATCCCATCAACAAACTTCCCTTCAACAAAACTCTCCTTCATCACCTTCCTTCTCCTTCATTACATTCTCTCTCCTTCACCATCTTCTCCCTCCTTCACGACCATCCCTCTCCTTCATTATCTTTGCTCTCCTTCACCATCTCTCTCATTCACGACCTTCCATACCCTTTACCACTTTCCTGACCCTTAACCCCCTTCTGAATGCTTGTCACCTTCCCTTCATCCCTATTACTATTTTCACTAAACACTGTCTTTGTCAAACTACATAAGAGAAACTCAGTATTTAATTACTGTATGTAGAAAATACTAAGCTAGATGAATTATTAAGACGTGTCAGATAATCAAGACTTGACTGTGTTAACCTTGCTTGCTTGCGATACCTGATCAACCAGGCTGTGACTCATACGTCAGGCTGCGAGCAGCCGCGTCCAACAGCCTGGTTGATCAGTCCAGCAACCAGGAGGCCTGGTCGACGACCGGGCCGCGGGGACGCTAAGCCCCGGAAGCACCTCAAGGTAACCACCTCAAGGTAACCTTTAACATATAATTTTGATTCACAAGCATCACTTGCATTATTTTTCTTTCAGAGCAGCCCTGAAAGCAGACATGCACAAGTGAAGTTAGCAGAAAAAGTTACACTTCTTGTACACGGCCGTAAGTGAAGTAGTGTACAGTACTGTAATTTACTGTACGTATACGTTACATAGTATTAAATAGTTGTAAAATATTTATATTAAAATAGTTTACTTAACATTGCTGAAGTTGATTAAATTTGCTGCAAAATATAAAAAATATTATTTTAAAATTTCAGTATTTTCACATAAACTTCATTCAAGTATAAAAAAATAATAAATATAAAAAAGGCCAAAGATTCAAGATTTTTTTTTTTTTTTTGTAATTTATGGAAACATACCTGTATTTACAATTAAATGTAATGGACTTTTCTCCATTACATGCTGTTGTATTTTGTGCCCTATTTGCCTTAGTGTTTTAATTGGTGTGAATGCACTAAGTGCACCTGTATCTCTCTCCTTGTATTCTTTGTTAATGAAATTATTGTTTGTGTTTTTGCAGGTTTCATATCTTATAGTGTACAATAAAATATTTAAATGTATTTTTAGAGAGTGGTCTAGAGTCTGCTCTACGTACAACTGAGGCTCTTTATGGCAATAAACCCGAAGCACTTGCTCAAATGTCCAAAGAGGATATCGAGGGTGCATTCAAGTTTGCTGCCTCGTCCAACATTTTCTTAGAACCGGGAACATCTGTCATTGGCATGGCGCTGAAAGCTGGATGTTTTGCTGATGAGAGTACGTATACATTTTACTTTATTTTACTAACCCTATTATTGCTGTGATAGTTTTAGTTTTGAGATAATTCAGCAATTGTGTATATCATAATCACAGGCTTGCAATTGTTTCTAGGTATGCTTTTCATTTCTAACAGGAGATGCACGTCGCATCATTGAGGCTGGAGGATTTTATATTAATCTTGCTCGTGTTACCATGCCAGATCTTGTACTTATTCCTGGAGTGCACATACTTCCTAATGGTCTGACTTTAGCAAGAGTTGGTAAGTTGTGCGTATCATAGTTCCTTGCATCATAGTCAGTGATTGCCATGCAGAGTACAGTACTGTGTAATAAAAATAAATAAAGCAAATTACAAGAGATATAATAATGCAAAAAGTTTGAAATGTTACTGAGAATAAAACAATATTTAAAGGTTAGTTGAAAGCGCACGAATAGAAATTGTATAACTGGCTGTCACAAATGTAAATTGTTCCTTAGTGTTGTGGACCAACTCATGAACAAATTGTGGTATAAAAGATTACTCATATACTGTATATAAAATAAAACTGACTAGCTTAACAAGATTGTTACTTGTTTAGCTAAATGAATTTTGAGGGTTCAGTTCCTGAGCCGTTATGTACCGCTGTAACCTTTTCCACTTCTGCCTGCAGGATTTGTATGGGGTGCATAATAAATTAACAAAATAAGAAATCTGTTAGTTGGAAATGCATTGACGTTCAGTTTTTGAAGCTTTATATTCAAAGCTTACAATATATTTAGAATACAATATTTTATTTAATGTTAATTACTTTGATTTTCATTCAGGTTTCTCTTGGTTTTTTACAGGTAAAAAGAACTACTACTTAATCAAGTGGTGCAGCTAATTTTACAACTATTTAAACATGGAAAAACAGCTGTTACAATATGTAAATAAAATTGTCAGAAATCTTCTTTCGTCTTTAATTTCATGGCTCTCTGCAGCCTGACCTAAACTTATAAATTACAATGTACAGGTATTAACTTGTGCAATAAATGGTTGAAAGCTCTTGGATGCAAGAGATGGCTGAAAGGAAATATGGCACTGTAAAATTTAAATTAAATTAATTGTACAGAGCTGTATTGCTATATCAGAGTGAATGGAGAAATCCTGAAATCTGTTGAGAAAATCAACGTTGAACAGGAACCCTCTATTTCTAAATAGTTTGCTCTCAGCTTCATTAAGAATAAACTAAGAAGCTTCCTCTGTGTAAATTGTCTAAAAAAAAAAAAAGGCTTGTCTAGAGGCTGTTTCTGACCAGTTCACTGTCTTGGGCGTCTCTTCTCATAAAGACGGTTCCTAATGCCCAGAATGAACTTGGTCATCCTTCTCTATATGGTCTTTACAGTATTTAATTCTGTAGTATGATGGCCAAAACTACCATATAATCCAAGTGCAAAATAAAGATTAAATAGGTGAAGTTCAGATTTATGGATCACAAATTACCAGCCATGGGTATTCAACCTTTGGAGATGGATGTTCAAGTCATCAGAGGGTGCAGGCGATGAGTCACAATAACGTGGCTGACAATCGACTTGAGAATGGTCCAGGACAGACCGAAACGTCGTCGTCTCTTCAATTTCTAGTGTGTGGTCTGGTCATCATCAGAGGGTGTCTACTTCTTGCTATGCCAAAGAAGTTGCACAGCTTCCTCTGGGTATTGAACTTTTATCTCCAGTTCATTGCATACACCTCTGACATCTTATTGTTTCTTGTACCTTATGGTATAGTTTAATACAGCTTCCCTGTATTTTCCCTATCTGAAGCCATGTTGTACCTCTGTTATTAAATTTAGTCTCTCCAAATGTTCTACAATCCTTTATCCCTATGACTTTTTCTAGAATCTTCCATGGAATGCATGTTAGTGACACTGGTTTATAATTTAGCACTTCATATCTGTCCTCGTTCTTGAATATTGGAACTACATTTGCCTTTACCAAAATTCCTGTAGCTCTCCCATCTCAAGTGTAATGTTGAACTCTGTAATGGATAACACAAGCTCCCTGCACTGCACTTCCTTCAGTACCCAAGGTGATATTTGGTCAGGTCCTACTGCTTTTGTTACATCCAATTTCTCCAGGTATCTTTTTATCTCTTCTATATTAACTTCAATTCTGACTAGTGTTGCTTCTGGTCCTCTGTTGTCGAAAGGTATTTGGACACCAATCTGGTTCTGGTTTGAAGATTTCCTGGAATTTCTTGTTGAGTTGTTCATACACTAATTTGTCATTTTCCAAGAGTATTCCTTCCTGTTCCTACTGTGTAATAACATGGTCTCATATCATTGTTTTCTTCCTTATATGGGTGTACAACAGCTTAGGCTGGCCCTTTGCTTTTGCCACAATATTAATCAAAAACTGTTGCTCTGTAACTCTCCTGATTCTTGTGTATTGTTTCCTGGCCAACTTTCATGTCTCACTATTTGCCTCTGTACCCATGCCCTTATACTTTTCCTACGTCTTCTCTGCGTCCTCTTTTTTTTTTTCCTCTTTACACCATTGAATCATGGGTTTGCCGTTCTCCTTTCATGCACTGCTCTCTTGAGAGGTATGAACTATCCCCTTGCTTGTTTGCATGTCTGTGTTATAAGTTCCACCCTTTCATTTGTTGACTTTCTTCCCATTTCAGTCTCCCATTGAACCTGCAAATAATCCCTAACCCTTCTGTATACTCTCTTGCTTTTTTCCCCATTTTGAATTCTCTCCTTTGGTTCTACAATGTAATCAAACATAACAGAGTGCTCACTAGCTCTTAGCGGTGTCTCAGATGTTAAGCTGTCTTACATCGTCTTCATTTTGGGTAAGCACCAGGTCTTGGGTAGCTGGTAGATTAATGCCTCTTGCTCTTGTCAGCTCTTTGGTATAATGCCACAGGAAGTGTTTGTCTGTATTTTCCGCAAATCTTGTTCTCCGTGTTTCATCTCCCTCGTGAGAATTCTTTGTTGAGTATTGGATGCCTATACCTCTCGCAAGATGAGTATAGAGTGCCAGTAAACTACCACTCATAGGATGAGTATAAGGTGCCAGTAAACTACCTCTCATAGGATGAGTATAAGGTGCCAGTAAACTATCTCTCGTAGGATGAGTATAGGGTGCCAGTAAACTACCGCTCATAGGATAAGTGACGGGACGGATCTCCTCAAAACTTAAAATACTGAACAATTTGTAGGATGTTGATCCAGACAATTTCTTGAAAAGGTCAAATGTAACACTAACAAGGAGCAACGATGTCAAGGTCAACAAGCCACAATACAGGACTGAAAACAGCAGATGCTTTTTCACCCACAGGGTTATAAACCCATGGAACCGCCTACCCGGCGAAGCCGTAAATACCCAAATTCAGCTGAACTTTAAAAATCTAGCTGGAGAAAATCATCAGGACAAATGCGGGGGACCTTTGACAAACCGCCGGCGCTCTGTCCTCGTCGAGGCCACTAGTGTCAATAGGCCTCAGGTATATGAACTACGGTAAACTGCCGCTCTCAACATGAGTATGGGGTGCACAATAAATTAGACGAAAACCCAATCATAGTTAATCAATATACACCCTAAACTGCGTAGAAGTTAAGTAGTTTAAAGATAGTGGATTGACTCCGTTTCCCAAAAGCAACTTTAACTATTGTTAATAAGACTATCCACATTTTTCTTCTAGCACCTGAAGAAAATATAATATTTAATGAAATTATAAGTGGTATTTCCAAACAGCGAAGCTCTCACCAATTCATCACCTGGCCAAAAATAACGGATTTACAACGAATCATTGCATTTGTAATTATTATCAACAGAGATAAAATGATTGTCATTTTATACGAGTATTATGGACGGTGTGAAGATATATTTTTTGTTTCCTTACATCTTGCCTGAAACGCTGTGCGTATTAGTGGTTTTAGGCATAATATATACTAGCTCTGTCTAGAAATCCAACATTCTGCTTGTAACTTAATTTTAAATGTATGTACTTTTACCTAAATGAAGTATTATTTTTAATTATAGGTCGGGGAGGATTGACTGGGCGCGAATCCCTTGACAATAGCCTCTGTTCACCCACCAGTGAAAGAGTGAATGAGTACCTGCTAGGCTTGGGTCATATTCCCGTGGAGGGAGAGGTGAAAATAATTAAAAATAAGTCCCTGCCCGAAACGTTAAGCCTACTAGTGGCTCAAACTCATATATATACACATAAATAAACCCAAAATATATATATATAGGATAGCTGGACGAGCCCCCTAGAGCCCAATGTGTGGTGGCGGCGGCGGCCAACAGATGGCAGTAGCGCGGCGGCTGCCATCCTCGACTCTAGCGTGGCAAACATTCGCAGGAAGCGGTCAGTATTTTCTCCCTTTCCCAGCCTCATTTCATCACCTCGAGTCGAGGCACTGTAACTGTGACATGTGTAACGGTGACAGAGTGGCGTGAGGGGCTCTGGAGGCGGGATTACAAGCGTGAGAATACGGTGTTGATGGTGATGGCGGCGGGGTGTTAAATATTGCTTGTGTCAGGTGGTGATGGTGAGCTTCACGGCCTTGGCTCCTGAGGGCCGCCCCAGTAGTGTTTTCTTATTGAAATAAGTTGTTTTGGGGGATAAATACACCCACAAGGGGATGAGGTAGTTCTGGTGCCTCATGGACCTGTGTTGACCTCGGAGGAAAATTTGGTGGTGTGTTGGAATAATGACTGGTATGGTGAGGGGCTGCTCGAGTAGTATAGTGACTGGCTGGAGTGGTATAATGAGGGGTTTGAGTGGTATAGTGAGGGGCTCGAGTGGTGTAGTGAGGGGCTCGAGTGGTGTAGTGAGGGGCTCGAGTAGTGTAGTGAGGGGCTCGAGTGGTGTAGTGAGGGGCTCGAGTGGTGTAGTGAGGGGCTCGAGTGGTGTAGTGAGGGGCTCGAGCGGTGTAGTGAGGGGCTCGAGCGGTGTAGTGACGGGCTCGAGCGGTATAGTGACGGGCTCGAGCGGTATAGTGACGGGCTCGAGCGGTATAGTGACGGGCTCGAGCGGTATAGTGACGGGCTCGAGCGGTATAGTGACGGGCTCGAGCGGTATAGTGACGTGACTCGAGCGGTATAGTGACGGACTCGAGCCACAGGAGTCACGACTCGTCCTCTCGTAATATGGAGAGAACTGTCATCAAATGGGTATAAGATTCTCTTAATAGTTCAGTATAAATTCTTTGTTTTTAAACCTTTATCATGTTAAACAATAAAAAAAAAGGGCCAAATATATATCCTGCAAAGGCAGAAATGTTTATAAATATCTTTGCATAGTACATATGATCATGTATCCTATCATATTATGTTGTATTTATGGTGAAATTATATTTTGCTCTGGTTTTAGGAGACTCGAAACTTCAATCAGAGGAAACGCTTCCTTTACTCAAAAATTGTTATTGCCATAAAGGAGTTTTGGCAAATGTGACGAAATAAATTCAACATGTTTCAGTTATATAGATGTTTGACATTAGAAAGATACTGTAGAATTTATATACTGTATATTTATTTTTGGTACAAAACATAATTTTTAAGACTGCGTGTTGTATGAATCAATTTTATGCTTGATATTGTCTTGCATTACTTACGGTTTGTGTTTTTCTATTGGGAAAACACAAATACATTAAAAAAAAAAATTGAGGTTTTCTATCGTGAAGTATTTTCTTGAATGATGCCACTACAGATGTAAACAAAACAAAAAATGCATAAATTTTGTTTTAAGCCCATATAGACATATAAAATGTATTGGACAGAAATAGGTGCTGCAACAATAGGGTTAGTTACACTACCTTGATATGGCTAACTTTAGATAGTGCACAATTTATACATTAAAAATTTCAAAACCTCACCCTAAAAATTATAAGAAGCATGAATTCTAGTTTAGTTATGGAAGACAAATTCAAAATCTGAAATACTGTATAGAAGAGTAGTTCCTCCAAAACTGGATTAGTGTACAATCTGTGTTAGCACGAGATCAGCCTTTCTGAAATCTGTAATTACCAGTTTTTGGCTATTAACCACTTTTTTCTTTCTGCAAATGATACAAATGCATCATGTGCATATTTGGATAATAAGAAAGGTTGATATTTTTACTTGGCATTTTTGTCACTGACTTAGATAACCAAGAGGCAGGAAAGTGTGATCATGCTCTGTCATGCTTGCTTTAAACGTCTACAGCTACCCCTCAAAAGACCTCGTAGTCCTTGGTTGGATGGCCAAACCACCCATCAAAGAATGTAGAAATGACGTGTCTGTCCTTCTTGGACCATTATCATCACATGACTTGATAGTGATCCAGAAGAGACTGAAACGTCAGCGTGAACACTATCTTGATCTTATCTTGAGATGGCTGTTGGGCTTAGCGTCCTTGTGGCCCAGTCCTTGATTAGGCTTGCTTTTTGTTACACATCCCCAGGAAGCAGCCCATAGCAGCTGTCTATCTCCCAGGTACCTATTTACTGCTAGGTGAACAGAGCACCAGGGTGAAAGAAACTGCCCATTTGTTTCCGCCTCCACCTGGGATCAAACCCAGAGCCTTAGGACTACGAATCCCGAGCACTGTCCACTCAGCCGTCATACTGCCATAACAAATTCAAGATTTAATGAATATTTTCTAATAAGTTGTAATTAGAGTAAAATCTTTGAAGAAAAGAATATGAAAATGTTGGTATACTTTTGCCTTTCCATGGTTTGACCCTTAACACAGATATAAAAAATGTAATCTCGCATACCCAAAAACATATATTTTAATGCTATAGCAAAGGAAAAGGGGGGAATAAATTGATACCGCATATATCGTGATTGTCAGGTATACATGGTCGCCAGGTGGTGGTTATCTTGAGATGATGGTGTCAGTGTATCGATCAATAACAGGTGCATAGCTTGCCAACACAGTAGTGTGAAAGGGGGTGGGGGAGGGGGAGAAATCAAATGTTTTAAGTTAAATGCTTATTATTTTCATTGCTCAACTTACTTTTGCAACGTGTTTTTGTGTTGAATAATTATGTGTACAGTACACATAATTTACAGTGATAGTGCTGTGTATAGGTGTACATTGTATTATGTAAACTTATTGCATTTAAACTTGTTCCTGGCACAGCTTAAATTTGGTGGCTTGCAATCCACTTCTTTGCTGCAATTCTGTCTGGTAATGTTGTCCAGTAAAGGATTCAAACTGGCAGTACAGGCCAAATGATGATTTTTCAGCAATAGCAGGACCAGTACAGTATATAACATTATGCAGTCCCCGTGGTGCAGTGGTAAAACACTCGCCTGGCGCTTCGTGAGAAATTTAGCCTGGGTTCATATCCTGGCCTGGGAGGATTGATTAGGCACCAGTCCTTAACTGTGTGCCTCTGTTCACCCATCAGTGAATGGGTACCTGGTTTTTAAAGAATTTGGCAGGTTGTATTTCAGGGAAAATTGGGATAAAGGACTTGTCCGAAATGCTATGCGTGCTAGTGGCTTTACAAGAATGTAAGAATTCTTGTGTATATATAAATAAATAACAAATTACACAGGAAGCAATTACAAGACTAGACTTTTTTCATTGGTCTTGGTTAACACTATTACATCTATATATTTGTATTATAATCTTCACATAATTTGTATAAAAACTGGGCAATAATACTAAAATCAAAATATAACCCCTTTAATATTTTTCATTAAGGTTTGTCATTTAGCAAGTTCATTAATCTTCCTAAGATTTCATTTTTGCGTGATGAGTTTTATCGAAGTCTCGCTAAACTGTGTTCAACACTATTACAGTAGTTTTGTTGATTATAACCTTGTGTGTTAAGTCATGTGCAGTACTGTATATGTGCAAGGCATTTGATGTGAATGGTGTGAACCATAATACCTGTATTTAATAAAATAATTATATTGTGCATTTTCTTAAACTTTATTTGTTGAAAACTGTAAGTGATGATGAATTATTTTTCCTTGCAGCAAGATGAGCAGTTCGGAAGAAGTATCTTGGATTGCTTGGTTTTGTGGCCTGAGAGGCAATGAATTCTTCTGCGAGGTAAGTTGTCGTTCATTAACACCTCACTAATAACAAAATTGAATGGCTATAGTTTATGTGCAAAATCGTCTTTTTGTTTGCATCTGATAATACAGTATACAATATATTATCCGATGTCAACAGTGTCTGTGATTCATTTTGACATGCTGAATTTTGCCATTCACTTTTCAGTGCAAATAACGATAAACTTTTATCATGTATTTCAAGTTTTATGTAATTTGCATCACCTGCAGGCATTTATATGAAGAGTGGAGCATGTAGAGAGTATGCGACTTTGCAATGGAGGGACATTGTGTATTTAGAGGGGATGTCATTCCTAGATTGTTAAAATACATTTGATTGTACCTTACAAAAGGTACTGTTGTCGTTTATAATTGTAAATCCTTTAGATTGTGAAATGCATTGATACCAAGTTATTTATTAACTAATATGAATTTGTAAAGATAAAGAATTGGCATTTAATTGGTTTTTGTTTCATTTTAGGTGGATGAGGACTACATTCAAGATAAGTTTAACCTAACCGGTCTGAATGAGCAGGTGCCTCATTATCGGCAGGCACTCGATATGATTCTTGACCTCGAGCCAGGTATTATTGCTTTATTGTGTGTGTTTATGAACTATTAAAGATTTCATGTTTCAGTTCTAACTTTAAAGGATTATGATCTGTGAAGGTAAAGTGATGATCAAGCTTTGTATTAGTTATTGTTGAATATGGTACAGCACCTGTATTTTACAGTGATCCACATTAGTTTTAAAGACACAAGAAATAGCATGAATTATAATATGTATAAAATTTTGAGCTGGTTTTGTTTTCTGGGTGGACAAATCGTGTAATGGAACAAATGTAAATTGAAATAAAGGAAGAGCGTGTTAGAATGCACAGGCGCTTGAACCCCACCTTGAAAGAAAGCCCTACCAACTTACCTGCTCAAGAAAGTTAAAGTTCAATAATTGACTGGAGGTGGAAAAGCATATTTGCAAGTTATTGGGCTGTTAAGTCAATTTTGTGATAGTTGAAGTCTGAGAGTCTCTGTTCTTTACATTGACTTGAAGTTGGTAATGCAAACATGTCATAAGAGATTTGTTTAAATAGGACACTGACTTGACCCATCACTGCATCTGTTGATATTTTAGGAAGTTCTTACATGTGAAACGTTTATGAGTATAATAAATGTTCAACTTTGGGGTTTCAACCTATTGACTACCTGTTGTTGGTTCTGGGGATCAATGCTCCCATGGGACCAATCTCTGACTAGGTTAATTGGTCGTTGGTCTGGTCAACCCGGCTGTTAAACAGCTGTTCACAGCCTGACATACGATAAATAGAAGCTGTTAGCATAATTCCCATGGATAAAATATTGTGCAATGGATGAAACAAAATGTATACAGCACAGTACTATTAATCCTTTGAATACACGTGAACATTATACAAGCACAAAACTTTAAAGGTTAATATTAATTATATCATAATAAAATCCATAGCAGGTACAGTTGTTAAACATGCAGAAATAAATGTGGAGAGTAGACTTCTAAGACTAAAAATGGTACTACACGTAACAATGTTTTGTTGTAAAATGTGGATATTGGGGTAAGAAGGCTTTTGATCTTTTGAGTGTTATTGTTCTATTATGTCTGTCATTGTTAACTTTGTTAATTTTCCTCGGCTAGATGAAGAGGAAGAGATTCCCCACCAGAGTGACCTTATAGAGCAAGCAGCAGAGATGTTGTATGGTCTTATCCATGCTCGTTATATCCTTACAAATAGAGGCATTGCACAAATGATTGAGAAGTATCAGGCTGGTGACTTTGGCCATTGCCCAAGAGTTTACTGTGAAAATCAGGTGAGTTTCATTGAAGATGTTATGGTAAATAGGTTTTAATTATATTGCTTGTGCTGTGAACATTACTTTTTTTTATAGGTAACAGATGCAGTTTAGTCTTTTTAGAAATGATAAACAGTATTACATTGTGTTGTTTTGACTACAGTACTACATTTGTAAACTAGATTTCTTGAAGTATTGTGTGTTTATGCTATGAGCCATACAATGTGTTATTGGTTATATATTTCTTCCTCTATAGTGGTTTACCCTATCCCTGGAACAAGCGAAATAAAAATGAAGATATTAAAGAGAATGAATGATAACGTGGCAAAACAGACCTAAATGTGTTATACTTTTTCAGTGAAGCTATGCCTCCTCAAACGTTGAGAATCTTGCAATCCTTGTCTGCTGCAACTCTTGTCATTAGCTTTGCATTGTCTGCAAACATTGATATACAAGTCTGCACTCCTGTAGATAGGTCATTTACATAAATGAGAAATAGTATGGATCCCAGCACTTGTTTCCCTATGGCATTCTGAATTCTCACCTTTCACTGTTACTGACTCCTGTCTGTGAAGTAAATCTTTACCCTAATGTTTATTGAATGTGCAAAGGTCCTGGGGGCCAGATTCACGAAGCAGTTATGCAAGTACTTACGACCATGTACATCTTTCCTCAATCTTTGATGGCTTTGGTTACATTTAAGTTAAGAAGCCTGAAAACTTTTCAATCAACTGTTGTTATTGTTATAAACATCCTCCTGGTGCTTTGGAGCTCATTAACTGTTTAATAATCTTTGGCGGCTTTGTTTAGAAATGAGAAAAGATGTACGGGTTTGAAAGTGCTTGCGTAACTGCTTAGTAAATCTGGCGTAAAAGTGCTTGCGTAACTGCTTCATGATTATCAAGTTTCTACTGGAGAGCTCTTACAGTAGTGTATTTTTTTTATTAGTATTTTATGTTATAGGCAAATTTTATAAATTGAACTTGGTATGAAGGTTATTTTCAGCATAGCCTGTACTGTACTTTAATTTAGTTTGTATATTTTTGAACTAACACAAGTTTCTGCTTAGCCCATGCTGCCTATTGGATTGAGTGATGTTCCTGGTGAGGCCATGGTGAAGCTGTATTGTCCAAAGTGCTGTGATGTATACACTCCAAAATCTTCACGTCATCATCACATCGACGGAGCATACTTTGGTACAGGATTTCCACACATGCTTTTTATGGTCCATCCAGAGTACAGGCCAAAGAGGCCTGCTAACCAGTTTGTACCACGGCTATACGGTTTCAAGATCCACCCTATGGCGTATCAGATTCAACAACAAGCGGCAGCCAATTTTAAAGCCCCTATGAGAGCTATCAATTATAATAATGGAAAACGCTAGAAATTTATAAATATTCTTATTGTATCCAATATTAGAACTAAACTTGGTTACACTCCTTAACTTATTTTGTGGTGATTTTTTTATTTTTTTTATTTTTACATTAAGTAGACTTTTCAAAGTATGCTGTTTAAGTTCATTTGGGCAAATGTGCATTAGTTAACCAAGTGATTATATTTGTGTTTTGTGTATTCTCAACAAATGGTGCAAACAGAGCTGTGCCAAGATGAAAATTGATTGATTCCTAATAGAAATGATTAGTTGAAAGTTTGAAAGATTTTGTAGCTCAAGTTTAAGCGACTAATGTGACTGTCGAGCTAACTGGGAGGTCGCTGCATGGCAAGTCTACTGCACACATTCCGGAAGAGTCCATTACCTCACCCCTTAGTTACCTCTGGAGCCATGGAGCGTTCTCCCCCCCCATCGATAACTTGGGATATCACTTTACAACATGCATGATATTCACCAAGAAATATGTAAGTTTGGTTTTCAACTTTTAAGGTAACTACTTCTAATAAAATGTAAATACATATTCCATTGTACAGTTTCAGTATTAAATCCCCAACTTTTAATGCACTCAAGAGTCTGGCATTTACAGGAATACTGTACAAGAAAGAGAAATACTACCAGGAAAGTGGCAGGTATGTCATGGCCACATTTTCTTATTTAAATACTTGATATGGATGGTGAATGACCTAACTGGTTCCAGTGCATAATCTTGGCCTAAACTGTAACATACTTTTGTTTACAAATGTATGAATATTATGAATGAATTGTTGGTTCATATCTGGCATCCTAAGAGAATAGCATCATTTGACAATTTGCTGTGCAATTTATGTAAACAGTTGTGTAATAAAGGATAAGGTAGGAGAAAATGCTATACCTGTGCATACGAGTGTCTCGCAAGGCCGTCCCGAGCCTTATTTTCTGAAAAGCAAAGGGTCTTTACTAAGTTGTGATGACCACTGTAAATTTATATTACATATATAAATATACTGTATTGGTATGCCTTAATTGGTGGTAAAATAAGGTAACTAGAATAAAAAGTGCAAGAGTTGTGAAACTTTTGTTTTTGTTTTTTCTAGCATTGGCTACAAAGTAACTTATGAAATGCTTAGTACAGTAAAATATATACTGGTAGTTACGAAAGTTTTTTCTACTGGCAAGACTGCCAACAATATGTACATCATCATCTTAATACCATAAGTGTAGCTTAAATAACAATTATGCATAGTTGATTATTGTAATTAAAAAAAATAACTCTGGCAAGATATGTATTTTATATCTTAGAGTTTGGTGTCTCCCCTCTGTTTAGGGGTGCATTCTTTTTGCCCATTGGAGTTGCTGTACTATGTTTTTCTCACTAAGTATATTAACAATTATTGCACATAACACATACTCACCAGCAGACACCTGGTTAAAGTTTGTGAAATAAGTTCTTATGGTTCCTGCTGATAAGTCAAGAACCCCTTGTAAGTTGCGAGTCGTTATCTTGACGTAATACAGCTTTGATATGCAGTATTAAACTTGTTATGCTTTAGGACTTAAATTTTGTGACTTTGGGAAATTCACGTCATTGTCTATTTCTGGTCTTCCCACATGTCCGTTATTCAATTTAATATACACAGATTTTATGCGAATTTCTTTGAAGTTTTAATATCCAAGTTTTGTGCATTCTCTCAGAGCCTATGTTTGGCTCTTGTGGGAATTGGTGTGGTTGTACCTTTTGATGGTTATCCTAGCATCACTGCTCTTTTTGAATCCTTAGATATGTCCTGTCTTTACTTTAAACATCCAGTGCACTGTTACAGTACTCATTTGGGAATAAATGGTTCTTGTGTTTGATCAGTTTTTCCTTTTTTTTGGATTTTTAAGCTATTAGGTGTTTTACCAGATTCCTTACTCCATTTAGGTGATTTTAACCAAAAGTGTGGCCTCTGGGGAAATTCATCCGACTGTCCTTTAAATCCCTTTGTCCAATCTTCAGTCTTATGTTGAATTCTGGCAAGCCAACTCATTAATTCTGGTACCCACTATCTTTCATGTCGATTCTGACATTGACCTGGATTGGTGGGTCTTTGCCAACGTCAATAACTAACCTTTTCCCCATTGTCTCAAATCGGCCCCTCCCTCCGCAATCTACCCTTTTTTTACTATGGCATTTGACAAAACCAGAAATTCTTTACTAGTTGTTCCTCTATTCTGTGCACATGGTGTCCCCTCAGTTCATTTTCAAGAACTATAATCTGACTGCTGCCTTCCTTGAGAAGTATGCTCATGGGCATATTCATTACTGATGGAACAATGAACATCAATGGGGGATTCGGTTTTTGGCGAGCTAGTGTCAATTGTGAATAAGCTTGATTTACAGGACTATTAGCACTTATTCTCACCTCAAAGACAAATTTTGTCTGAGACAATTGTATGCAGTTTCATACTCCAATGTTTTTCCTTCTTCTGAACTTCATTGGACAACAGGCTTGGATGGTATTCTCTAGAGATGGCTGGACCAAGGTGATTCTCTTCAATAACGAGCCTGGAATGTTGAGCAATTTGTTAAGAGTTTTGATTGTACCCTAATGCACTGACCAGTGTGCATGCATTTTGTAAGTGATTAATCTGCATACTGTGGTTTTTGGAATATAATGTACATATTCCCCTCCAGATTGTGCAAGTGTCACGGCACAAGCTATATCGTATAACGAGTTACATTTGTGAAACTCGTCCCTGCTGGTAATTAAGTTGTTGCCGTCTTATATGTAAAGTTTTCAGCGATTGCATTATTTTGGCACTTTGCTGTTTTAGTCATATGTCTTTCACATATATTTGCAAGATAAAAGTTGTCCTTAATAGGGTTCTAAGGCTCCTTTTTTTTTTTTTCTTGCTTGTCTCGTGGTATAATACTCTTTCACAGTTAAGCATTTGTTATGTATCATGGATTTTTGCAGAGGTCGATGTGTGATTAGACAAGTTTGTTATGTTGACTTAGATGTTTAAAACCTGAAATTGAATGATCATTTCAAGTCAGATTTGAACAGCCAAGTGGGATACAAGTTAAATACTGATTTATAAATTGAAATAAGCGTGGGGGTTACTTACTAGGTAAAATAAGATTTATATTTCATAAATCCAATAACTTAGGGCCTAACTATAGTGGATTTCTGTTTTATTTTTTGGCAGTAATACCAGACTGAATAAGCCTATATTTTCTGTTAGGGGAGAAAAACTTGCCTAGTGTGGGACCATTTATTTATTATGCAAGATTTATATAAAAATCATAATTTAGGATATGAAATATAAAGTAAATATTACATTTATTAATAGTAAGTGAATAAGTAGGTACATACAGCTATAGCTGCAGGTATAGCCATTACAAGTAAAGTTAAGTACATAATTATTTGCAAGTATAGCATATAGCAGTCCATAGTTAAAGATTACATTTGTCTAATGTCCAAATTTTAAAGAGCTTTCGAGTACATTTATGAACTATTTGACCAGACCACATTAGAAGGTGAAGGTACGAAGACGTATGTACGTCATGTACCATTCAAGTTGTGATCAGGAAGTAGATGCAGGCAATAAATAGGCTAGAGAGGTGGGGAGTAAAGCGTAGTAGAGGAGTTATGGTATGAATAAGAACTGCAGAGGGCCTATTGGCTCATACGAGACAGCTTATTATAACCACCGAATGAGAAGGAAATGGTAATAGGAATAAGAAAGATAGCAAGGGAACGTAGAGGAAAAAAAACAAAAAGATAAATGGAAGGGTAAGCTTATGTTAGGTCACGTTTGTTTGAAAGATTCGAGCACTTAGGTATATACTGTGAAAGGGAAGAGTCCACAGCAACAAAGCCAGGACTAGTTCATGTTGGGTACATTATATATTAGAGCAGATTCAACAAGACTGCGTCTATATAGCGTAGAGGCAGGAAAGATTATTTTGGAGGAAGACTAACAGGATTATTGGGATCCCTCATGACAAGAGAGCATTGTTCAGTTGCATTAATAGAGCCTGCAACTATGAATAACGACACTAATATGCATTACAAGAATAATGACTGCATTGATAACTTTGAATTATATGTTCCCAATTCGTACCTTTGTTTTAAGATTAGTACCATTAAGCCTGCTCTTGAACAATCAAGCAGCCGAGGTACCGCGCTACGTCAGCATATCACTTTGGTGTTCTGTCGGTGCACCCCCTTGACTGTCGCGGACCAGAACCAGAATAACGTGTGGCAGAGGTCGAGGGAGGCGGGTAAGTTTGTTTGGCTTGTGAAGCGGGCGGCGGCTGGAGCTGAACAGAGGTCGTGACCTGATTGATGAAGACTCAGCCACCCAAAAGGTGGCACGGGAATGAATAGCCTTAAGTGGTGTCCCTTTGGAGCAATTACCAGTATCATTAGCAGATACTGGTGATGTGTGGAGGTGCGACTGGACTCTACGAAGAGGTCGTGACCTCTTGAATCATGGCTTCGGCCGCGCGCGCTTAAGTACCCTCCAACCCCCCCCCCCCCCTCCTGTTGGTGGGCACGCGGCGCACGCCACAAAGCATTATTCATATGTTTAGCATTATTCATATTTATTATTCATATTTACATTTATTATTCATAGTTACATATATTATTCACATTTATTATTCATATTCAAAGCATTATTCATATTTAGCAATATTCATATAGCGCACATATGTTTTCCCCATCCCCCCAGAAACCACCGCTTTGAAGCAAGCAGTGACCATATATGAGTAAAGACAAAATAGGCAATTATAGTTTATGAAAAGGAGAATCTTCATTAGATTTTGTAGCCTTAGACGTAACTGTATTATACTAAGTACAAATACAGTGCAGTACTTATAATTTGATACATTTCTTCAATTTTGTACATGCGAGTTTAAATTGTTGATTGTCAATGTTAGAACAAAACACTTGTCCTTTTGTTTTGCTCTCAGTTCGGGTATTGTTTATTCGTTGTTAAATTTGATTGATTCAATGAGCCTAATGGGTCGAAGTTACAAGCAGCCTAATGGGTTGAAGTTACAAGCAGCCTAATGGGTCGAAGTTACAAGCAGCGTAATGGGTCGAAGTTACAAGCGTGGCTTAGAGTTCTGTGTATTGTGAAGGGAGTCAATGGAAGTAAAGGGTTAAGCAAGCGTTCATGTGAAACTTTCGTGGTTGATTGTTTACATTCACGTCTTGGCCGTTACATGTCCATTACCAATGAACTAAGTGCTACATAGTCTTCTGGTCTTGGTGCCTTCTTTGATAATTATTTACTTGAAAGGAACTAAATAATCCAAGGTACGTGTAATAATATAATATACTCATCTGTGTCTTACAAAGTTTTGGTGTGTTGGGGTAGGCACAGACGCTTCCTTTGGCCTTAGTATTGTTTAAGTTGGACTACTGATGTCCTTCATATTCAATGGCTTCTCCTTTAACCCATTATTATGTTTGTAAATTAAAGTTGAAAATCAGAAATTATTCATAAATGGTTGTAAATTTATAATTGAAGGAAGTCGTCATAATCATGTACTGTATAAATTAGATTTAGTGTCTGAGACATCAGTCAATACAATTGTAGCTAGAGTAAACATGTGTAGTCATAAAAAGTGAGACTAATACTGACAAGACACACATACAATAAGAAAATTTGCTGGATAACTACTAAAAAGTACACGATGGTAATTTAAAAATCGTTCTGTATTTGACATCAACAGATTTAGGGGCAAGTCTGGATCGAAATCATACTGACAACGTTTGTAACACAGATCTAATTTCAATAGAATGTAAGAGGCGTGTTATCTGTGACGGTAATGCGTTAATAATACCCAATATCCAGCTGGGGGGTGTATGTTATTTTTTGTCTGTAATTGTGGCTTGAAGGGATAGTTTATTAGCTTGTCCTGAGTAAATGTAGTGACATAACAGCATGTATAGCACCCCCAAACAGGAAGAAAACCGAGTGGATTGTTCATTCTTTTACTTAGCCGAAACGCTGCGCGTACTAGTAGCTTTACAAGCAAGTTAACACCATGCTAAGTATCCTCACAAACCCATTCTACCTTCTTGTATATACATAAATAAATAAATAAACTTGTGGCCAGACACCTGGGACTTCAAATGTCTCAAATCAATAGACTATTAAATAAGGAAATAATATTTGACAAACCCTCACGTTTATCTTGTGGGAGCAAAGTGGAGGAACGTTTTGAGTTTGTAAGTTTCACTAACCACCTTTTCCAAATTGCTTTTAATTTGAAAATAATATTGTCAAAAATGTGTGTTAAGTTTCACTGACGAGATGCAGAGTGATGGGAAGCTGGCCTTTCTAGATGTAACAGTCGCGGAAAGGAATGGTGGCTTCCACACTGCAGTCTACACTAAGGAAATAAACATAGGAATGTGCCTCAGTGCCTCTAGTGACTGCCTAGACAGGTACAAGAGGAGTGTCGTCACTGCTTATGTCGACCAGGTTCTCGGGCACAGCTGAGGATGGAAGGAAGTTGATGAAGAACTCTGTAAGGTAAGGCAGGTCCTAGTCAACAACGGGTTATCTAATGGTTTTGTTGAAAACATCATAAAAAGAAATATAAAACGCCTTGCAACCTCTGAAGAGTCAATTAACACCACACTTGTACCCCCTATTAGACTATTTTACAGGAACTTATTTTCGACGTATCATAAAAGTGAGGAAAGGGTCCTGAAAGATATTGTTGATAGGAACGCTATCCCTACAGACAAAAAACAGAAAATACAAATGATGATTTACTATATAACCTTAAAAACGGGCAACGTACTCATGAAGAACTCTGCAAACACCAAGCAGAATGCCTTGAAAGAAACCAACGTCGTGTATGCCTTCACATGCGCACTTTGGGGATGTCAGCCCCAAAGATGTTACTATATAGGCAAGAAAAGAACGTTTGTTTCTAGGCGATCAACAATGCACAAGGAACAGGGCTCCATCAAGGATCATATAATCTCCTCACACAACCCGACCATGATCAGAGAAATTTTAACCAGCAGGACAGAAATTATCCACAGATACAACAACAGGAAACTCGACATCAGCGAGACCCTACACATTAAAAAGCCAAAACGAACAATGAAAAATATATATAATATACATCCGCCTGCACCTATAGCACACCTGCACCCATAGCATCCCTGCACCGATTGCATCCATAGGACCTCTGCACACATAGCACCCCTGCACCCATAGCACCCCAGCACCCGTGCACAAATAGAATCCATAGGGGAGTTATGCGCTGATGAAGTCTTCTGCAGTGCTTCCCTGTGTACAGTATCCGTCTGTGTTGCCTGTTGTTTAAGATTCAGCTACTGGGAATAAAAGTTGCAAGTAGCACGGGCTATGGTGAGCCCGTAGTGAAGTTAGCTGGCACAGGAGCGGGGCTGTAAGTTGCTGATCTCTGTGCGTTTCCGGATGTTCCGGTATTTATGCATCGACCCAGTCACACGCTTGCTGGGGGCGCTTCCGATGCGGAGTGGCCGCTTTAGAGTGTGTATTGTGACAAATATTCTTGTGGAGAGATTCGTGAGAAATATGTTGAATAGGGGCTCGTCACCGGGTGTGATGCTTGAGTGTTGTGATACTATGTGTTGGCACTTTTCCCGCCTGTGTAGGGTTGTCGGGCTTGCTGCTATGTACTTGTTATTTCACACGGTTGTAGGGGGTATATAATGCTGTACTTTGTTATTTACTATGTTCCGAGGTGTGTAGTTTGTCGTGTGGTGCTTCGGGGTTTTGTGGTATGTAGCGGAGTTGTAAGCGGTTATCGTGGTCATTGTTTGTAATTAATATTTCTATTTGTGGTTTGTGCTGTTTAGTTTGGTTGCCGTGGTGTTTGGATTGTATGTTTTGGTTGTTGATGTTGTACTTGTTGTGCTCATTGCTTTGTACATATTGTTTTTAATGTTTCGTGTTGTGTTGCTATGGTGTATGTTGTGTTTGCTGTTTATGTACTTATATGTTTTCCACTTTGTTTTCGTGTCACTTTGGTTGTTTTGTGTTTGTACTGATCAGGTCGGATGTGGTGCGTTGGTGTCTAATTTGTAATGTATTTAATGTGTTTTATAATAATAATAAAAAAGTTTGGTCTGTTGTGGACTAATATCATGTTGATTGTGATGTAAGCCAGGGAGGCATATATTTTAAAATAATATTTGTTGCATAACAAGGGCTAAAATAGATGAAAATAAGTGTTCAAGTTGTATTGGCAATTCCGCAAAAATCCCCCCCCCCCCCTCCCCCCATCTATAATACAGTAATGAGTATTCAAATGACTAATGTTGTTAGTATAAATTAATATGATTATATATTAAAGTTGAAGGCATAGTTATTCGTATGTTAGGTTAGCCGTCTAGGTTGTGTTGGCAATAATATGTATTTGAAGTACGTGGGTGAAAGGTTTACAGCATTGCGATTCGAACAGAGGTCGTGAGCGAAGCAGAGAAGAGATGTTCGAACGTCATCAGTTGTGAGTCGAATGTAAAATATATGTTTGTAAAAATGTGGGTTTGGCGGAGCGCTTAATGATAATTTAACATTTATTTATAGGGACGTTGAGCGTAATAGAATGAATAAAATGTCAGAAAATCCAAAAGGGTGTTAGGGTTATTGTACCACCCTGTCGATGGCTATTAACATCACTACAATAGTTTAGCAAGCATCAGGGATACTTTTGTCCCTAAACATAGTCCATGAGTAAAGTAAAATCAATGTTTATATATCGAGAAGCGTGATATAATTCCTGTGTGTGTATAGATTTCAAAGTTATACGAAGTAATTGTCATATGAATTACTAGAGTATGGAACTATGCGAACCGACCAATGAGAACAGAATACAGGTAGGGATAATGTGACGTCAATTAAAAATGGGAAACGTGATTGGCTGCTGAGTTGACGTGCTGGCGGAGGAGCAGTGAAGCGTATTTTGCCCCTAGACGTCCGGTAAGACGGTCGTATACATATGATTGTTTTAGTGGTGTGTTACTCTACACCCAGGTGTGGAAATTGTGGGTCACTGGGGTCAACAGACCCCTAGGGCACTCATTGTATACACCGTTAAAGCCTGAATATCTATGGGGCAAAATATAGTTTTATAAACTAAATACCCAATTGTTGTTGCGAGTATATACGCAGGTTTATAGTCCTGAAGAATAATCAGGACCCAAATGTTGATTTTGTAATAATATCTTAATGTGCTGAATATAATCTTCTGTTTATAGTGTCGTGAGGCTGCTGGAACCACCGTGAGGTCGTATGGTCTAAGATATGGATATTTGGGGCTGTGAGTTTGTTGATTAGTGAGCGCACTCGCTGTGACATGACAGGAACGTTATGATGAACTCTGGAATCTTCTGTGAAAGTACTGGCAGTCAACATGTCGACGAGAAGCAGCGGCAGACAAGTCACGGTGGCGCAGGTGAGTAAATGTATTGTTGGTGTTATTTATTGTAAACCTAAATTTCGGTTTGGCTAGTTACCATAGGACAAGGCTGGTAATCGGCATGCACAAGTAAATGTAGTAAGACTGTTTCAATAGTTAAAATTTGTGCTGTCTGTTGTCTTAAATAGGGAAGATGTTGCTGGCTGTGAGGTAAGGCATACCAACACCCCCCCCCCCCCCCCGTTAGGTAATTTGTAGTGTGCTCAGGAAAATAGGTAAAGTGGTTTTAGTATGTACTTCCCCCGTGTAAAAAGTGTGTATTAATTATTTATTAATACATTACCCATCTCCACTTTCCCTCTGTTCAATATGGTGGCAAGGCAGGGGTTGTAAATCTCAGGTAGTCATTGAAATTTCATCTTATAATAAGAATGAGGTCAGGAACCTCATCCCTTTGCGTAGCGTAAGCTATTTTTACGCCGTTCAGTATTTGTTCATACATAGCACAAAGTATCTCAATGTTGGGCAATATGTTTAAACATACCATACTAGTGTAAAGGAGGCTTTGTATCAGACGTCCAGTGATTTAGGTATACTGTAAATTGAAAAGTTAATTTATCTGCACGTCTTATTCTGGAGATAAGAATGTTGCACGAACTATAAGGTTTTCTGGTGACACCCAGGCTATTTGGTCAGGAGCAGTCATCTCAGTGTTTCTATATACATTAATCAACGGACAGTGGAGCACACAATGGGCAAGGGTGTGAGACCTTAACATACCGCACATCATGTAATGTCCATAATGAACACCTCATAATCCCAGTGATACTTCTATAGAAGTATGAGCCGCATGTGTAGTCACAACAATCATTTCTCGTTTTACTATAAATTAAATTGGTGTTTTGAGTGCATGTGAGTGTTGGATGGTTTGAGTTTCCTCATATTATACTTTTCACTTTCTGCCGAATATTAGAATGCGATTTCACAATTTTATTTAAAAGTAAAATTTGTAGTTTTGATGTGGGATGTTTGGCCAAGTCATCCGCATCCTCGTTAAGCACTAATCCAACACGAGATGGAATGCACATGAATTTTAGTGAGCTTTGGGGTGTTTTAGTGTCCATAGTTTAGGATAGTAACAAAGATAAGTGGATTTAGTGTTTAAGAACTAGTGCACCTCGGCTATCGACAAATATACATAATTGTCGTCATAACGTAGTTGCTGCAAACACCATAATGATGTGCAGTTCAGCTTGTGTGGATATAAATTTTAGTAGAGCTTATCCTGTCCAGTCCCAAACTCGGTATATTCCCTTATTAGGCCAGGACACCGTGCCTCATCTTGAGGTGCAAGTTATATTTAGTTAATGTAATTAATCATAAATTGGTGTAATAAAAATTTTAGGGGGTTGTCAGTGTGAGGTATTGGTATCTGCGGGATTAAGTTTAGAGGGAGTCTGTACTATAATGAAGTGACGGTAACTTTTGTTGCAGGTTATACCGGAAGGTGGTTCTTGAGCTCGTAGTCGGTGAGAGGACCTTCAACCATCGCGAGACATCATCGCGTTGGGAATTATAAGTGGTTACCTGTACTACTTACGAAGTCTGGAATACATGTTATCTTCGTGGTTTACAAGGCAGTGAAGGTGAGCGTGTGATAAATGTTGAACGTCAGGTGAAATTTGTAGGTAAATTAGAACGTAGTGTTTAAATTACAAAGGAGGATTACGGCAAAGTTTTTGGTAGTGTAATAGTGTTAAGACGTTGAGATGTTTAGGTCAAGCCGTCCTTGACTAGTTTATTTCATCGATCGGTGTACCCCTGATTCATACATTGAACATGATCTTCAATAAAAATTGAATATTTAATAAAATGTATATTGTGCATAGGATAGGTGTTTAGCATCTGAATATTAGTACGGGACTGACAGAACGTTGTGCTTGGAACAAAGTGAAGCCCGTGTTATGGAAATGTTAGAACGTAATCGGTTGTGTGAACCGTTTGACTGATAAACAGGGCATAGAGGTTTGCTTGATGTCAGTAATTAGTTACGAATGTTAGAGGTTGTGGCACCGTGATTGTAATATTTAAGTAGGAAAAATTAGGCATGAATTACATATGGAATAGGTTGCATGTAGTAAGATATGTAAAATTTGCATGGGGTTCAGTCGTTTTAGGAAAGAATATTGGCGATGTAAGTTCAGTAGAAACGTCATCATTGATAGTGGCATGGAGTCAAATTGGCTTCAATGGGAGTAATAGCGTTCCTTTGCGAATATCACTGGAATGGGTACTGATGCGGTTTATTATATAGCATTGAGGGGCGTAATAGTGGGCGCGAGGCTGTTACTGCCATGTTTAATGTTAGGTTTAGGTAAAACTGTTAAGAAAACGTAGTTAGCGTTATTAGTGTACATTAGGGAACGTATTGGTGTGTATTAAAGTTGCGGTCACACGAGGATGGAGGTAAAATGTCGGCGACATGTCATAGTTAATGGAGTTGCAGGGATGTCATGTGGACGGTAGGCGTAATGATAGGACGCATTACCTCGACACTGTAATGAGTAGAAGGGTGTGAATGTTAGGGCTCCACCTTCCCAGCCATTCCACATGAGGACCCCCACGGGATTGTATTAATGTTCCATATTTAAATCATTGGTATATAAACTTAGGCTTGAAGCAATAAAAAGTTGATGCAGCCGTGGTAAAATAGAAATGGAGAACGTTGTTTTTTATGTTAACGAGCCATGTCCATGTTCTGTCCACCCCTATTAGTAGAGGTTAGTGGAACATGTTTAAATTATGAGTAGGGTACAGAAACATCTATCAGTGTTGGTGTCAGATGACGTGCTTGATATTAATTTAATAGGTCTGCTTTGTCAGGATGAGAATAATTGACAAGTATTTAATGAGCGTAAACGCGTCAAGGATTCGTGAGATGTTTTTGGGTTAAGGAGAGTTTAGAGTTAACTGAGGAGGTTAGTTGTATAGACAGGCCAAAGGCAAGGGTGACGGACTGAGGTGCGGATACAAGTAGTAGGTGTTGGCTTTGTTTACTAAGTTAATGAAATTGTAGACATAAATATATTTAGACTAATGTTTAAATTAACATGCGTTTACCGCGATGATTAACTGAAAATGTTGGTATAACTTGTAGTTGACCTCAGTGAATATTGAGGTGAATGTTAGTTGATATTGTAAATGACAATAGAAAGTAGAAAATATGGGCGGTTATGAGTTATTGTTGAATATAGGAGTTGTATCAGTTTGACCAACCGTCTGGTACCTAAGGTCGTACAGGTAAGTTGAGAAATGTTACTTTGGTAGATATAAGTGTGGATGGTTAATATTGCAATAATAAAAATAAGTAAATAATGTACAGCTTAGTCAGAACCAAGGGGTGTTTTAAGAATAAATGTTGGAGGCATGTAAGGGTTCCATTATAGTTGCGACGAATGGTTGACATTATGGTGTAGATGTGAAGTTGCTTGAGCAAACGATGTTATTGTGGTGGCAGACGATACTGAGGTGTAGTTGTGTTGGAAATTGTTTATTGTTGTGATAGTGGGGTGGAATGTGTAGTTAGTTGAATAGGGCGCGGACGTTTGTTACAATAGTAAGTGTATTGACATGCATGTAGCCTAGACTAGTATTAGAATCGAAATAGTGTAAAAGAAATAGGTAGGTGATGGTAAAAGTTGTAACGACACGGAATGGTCATAGATAGGGGTGTTATAAGTAGTTTGCAGTTGGAAAGTGTGTGCATTAAGAGCCTATTGTCAATGAGTAAATGTGGGTGGGTAGTGTAGGACAATTTATGTTGAGTAAGTGTTCAATGACACGTATGAAGACTTAAAAGTTTAGTTTATAATAGGGTTGAAATTGATTGTAGTGTAAAAATGCAGAATATAGGTGATGGTATCTATAGTAAATATATCCGTTTAGTGTTGAAGTAGTTTCAGTGAAATATTGAACGGGGTTATGTGTAAGAATGCATAGTTAATTGGCGTAACAAGAAGTTTAGTAAAATGTTTTAATACTTTTTTTTCATTATATAGACAAAATTGGCAATAAAAGTGAAAGTTCATTGGGAGGGCAAATGAAGACATACATAAGGTTGAAATAGAGTAATGTAAAACGGGAAATTGTTGAGAGAAAATGTATAAATATTTTGTTCGTGTCCAATTGATTGACGTAACTAAATTGCCGTTACTGGTAGAAATTATATGGCCATAAGAGGCAGTTTATATCATGCTTAGTGGTAGTGTAAATTGCAAACTGATATAAAACGTATTTTTTAGATTTGGAGTGTCATGAGGATATAAGAATAACCGTGGAGGAAATGAAGAGGAATCAAGACTATGGAAGATGAAGAGGCAAGACGTGTACCCAATAATGTCGTAGAGAAAAAATAATTGTTTTGATCGCAGCAGCAGGACACGGGCCATTTTCGACGCATCAGAGATGACTTGTATAATGTGTGATACAATGACAATAGTATGACATAAAAAACGTGTATTGTATAGGTAATTTCATTTCGACCTGAAAACCAATATTCCGAAGATATGGTTGTACGTAATCAGGTGATGGAAGTGTTGACTTGAGGGAATGTTCGTCTGTCGTGTTTGGCAAAATGTTTACGATGAAAAAGGTAATAAATGTTGTTTAATAAGTTGTAGTTGTTATAATATGGCAAAGAAATCCGATGTGACTGTGTAGTAAAATGAAGTTGTATTTAGGTAAGTTATAGATACATACGGTTGATAGGGAATATGAAATGTAAATATAAGTAAAGAAGTGAAAATAATGGAATAGTTAAAACCATATAGTATTTAACGTCCTAAATACGTTGAGAGTGAAATAAGAGTTGGCTATAGGTACGAAATTTAGATGGGCCTTTGTACTGATTGTATGTAATAAGGGTTATGGTATGATTGAAAAAAATTTACATGAATATTTATTGTTGTAAGATAAAATTGGGCTACTTTTGCTACTTTTAGCCCAAAATTGGGTTACTTTCGCTACTTTTTAGCCAAAAATTGGGCTACTTTTTAGCCCAAAATTTCGCTACTTTTTAGCCCAAAATTTCGCTACTTTTTGCCAAAATTGGGCTAAAATTTCGCTACTTTTTGGCCAAAATTGGGCTACTTTCGCTACTTTTTAGCCCAAAATTGGGCTACTTTTTGCCCCAAATTTCGCTACTTTTTAGCCCAAAATTTCGCTACTTTTTGCCCAAATTGGGCTACTTTCGCTACTTTTTGCCCAAAATTGGCTACTTTTGCTACTTTTTGGCCCAAATTTCGCTACTTTTTGCCCAAAATTGGGCTACTTTTTAGCGCTACTTTTTGCCCAAAATTGGGCTACTTTCGCTACTTTTTGGCCAAAATTGGACTACTTTCGCTACTTTTTAGGCCAAAATTGGGCTACTTTCGCTACTTTTTGCCCAAAATTGGGCTACTTTTGCTACTTTTTAGCTTTCGCTACTTTTTGCCCAAAATTTCGCTATTTTTGCTACTTTTTAGCCCAAAATTTCGCTACTTTTAAAGCCAAAATTGGGCTATTTTCGCTACTTTTTAGGCCAAAATTGGGCTACTTTTTTAGCCCAAAATTGGGCTACTTTTGCTACTTTTTGGCCCAAAATTTCGCTACTTTTTGGCCAAAATTGGGCTACTTTCGCTACTTTTTAGGCCAAAATTGGGCTACTTTTTGCCCCAAATTTTGCTACTTTTTGGCCAAAATTTCGCTACTTTTTGCCCAAAATTGGGCTACTTTTTGGCCAAAATTGGGCTACTTTCGCTACTTTTTGGCCAAAATTGGGCTACTTTCGCTACTTTTTGGCCAAAATTGGGCTACTTTCGCTACTTTTTGCCCAAAATTGGGCTACTTTCGCTACTTTTTGGCCAAAATTTCGCTACTTTTTGCCCAAAATTGGGCTACTTTCGCTACTTTTTGCCCAAAATTGGGCTACTTTCGCTACTTTTTGCCCAAAATTGGGCTACTTTTGCTACTTTTTGCCCAAAATTGGGCTACTTTTTACTTTTTGCCCAAAATTTCGCTACTTTTTAGGCCAAAATTGGGCTATTTTCGCTACTTTTTAGGCCAAAATTGGGCTACTTTTTAGCCCAAAATTTCGCTACTTTTAGCCCAAAATTTCGCTATTTTTTAGGTTAAAATTGGGCTATTTTCGCTACTTTTTAGGCCAAAATTGGGCTACTTTTTGCCCCAAAATTTTGCTACTTTTTGGCCAAAATTTCGCAAAAAATTGGGCTACTTTCGCTACTTTTTGGCCAAAATTGGGCTACTTTCGCTACTTTTTGGCCAAAATTTCGCTACTTTTTGCCCAAAATTGGGCTACTTTTTTGCCCAAAATTGGGCTACTTTTGCTACTTTTTAGCCCAAAATTTCGCTACTTTTTGCTTGGGCTACTTTTTGGCCAAAATTGGACTACTTTCGCTACTTTTTAGCCCAAAATTGGGCTACTTTTTGCCCAAAATTAGGCTACTTTTTAGCCCAAAATTTCGCTACTTTTTGGCCAAAATTGGGCTACTTTCGCTACTTTTTGCCCAAAATTGGGCTACTTTTGCTACTTTTTAGGCCAAAATTGGGCTACTTTTGCTACTTTTTAGTCCAAAATTTCGCTACTTTTTAGCCCAAAATTGGGCTACTTTTGCTACTTTTTGGCCAAAATTTCGCTACTTTTTAGGCCAAAATTGGGCTACTTTTGCTACTTTTTAGCCCAAAATTTCGCTACTTTCGCTACTTTTTTTGGCCAAAATTGGACTACTTTCGCTACTTTTTAGCCCAAAATTGGGCTACTTTTGCTACTTTTTGGCCAAAATTTCGCTACTTTTTAAAATTGCCCGCTAAAATTGGGCTACTTTCGCTACTTTTTGGCCCAAAATTGGGCTACTTTAGCTACTTTTTAGCCCAAAATTGGGCTACTTTCGCTACTTTTTAGCCCAAAATTGGGCTACTTTCGCTACTTTTTGGCCAAAATTTCGCTACTTTTTAGCCCAAAATTTCGCTACTTTTTAGCCCAAAATTTCGCTACTTTTTAGCCCAAAATTTATCTACTTTTTAGCCCAAAATTTCGCTACTTTTTGGCCAAAATTTCGCTACTTTTTGCCCAAAATTGGGCTACTTTTGCTACTTTTTGGCCCAAAATTTCGCTACTTTTTAGGCCAAAATTGGACTACTTTCGCTACTTTTTGCCCCAAATTTTGCTACTTTTTGACCCAAATTTTGCTACTTTTTAGCCCAAAATTTCGCTACTTTTTAGCCCAAAATTTATCTACTTTTGCTACTTTTTGCCCAAAATTGGGCTACTTTTGCTACTTTTTGGCCCAAAATTTCGCTACTTTTTAGGCCAAAATTGGGCTACTTTTTGCCCAAAATTAGGCTACTTTTTAGCCCAAAATTTCGCTACTTTTTGGCCAAAATTGGGCTACTTTTGCTACTTTTTGGCCAAAATTGGACTACTTTCGCTACTTTTTAGCCCAAAATTGGGCTACTTTTTGCCCCAAATTTTGCTACTTTTAGCCCAAAATTTCGCCACAAATTGGGCTACTTTCGCTACTTTTTGGCCCAAATTTCGCTACTTTTTGCCCAAAATTGGGCTACTTTCGCTACTTTTTGCCCAAAATTGGGCTACTTTCGCTACTTTTTGGCCCAAAATTTCGCTACTTTTTAGGCCAAAATTGGGCTATTTTCGCTACTTTTTAGCCCAAAATTTCGCTACTTTTAGCCCAAAATTTCGCTACTTTTTGGCCAAAATTGGGCTACTTTCGCTACTTTTTGGCCAAAATTGGACTACTTTCGCTACTTTTTAGCCCAAAATTGGGCTACTTTTTGCCCAAAATTAGGCTACTTTTTAGCTACTTTTTCGCCAAAATTTGGCTAAAATTGGGCTACTTTTTAGGCCAAAATTGGGCTACTTTCGCTACTTTTTGCCCAAAATTGGGCTACTTTTTAGGCCAAAATTGGGCTACTTTTGCTACTTTTTAGTCCAAAATTTCGCTACTTTTTGGCCAAAATTTCGCTATTTTTGCTACTTTTTAGCCCAAAATTTCGCTATTTTTTAGGCCAAAATTGGGCTATTTTCGCTACTTTTTAGGCCAAAATTGGGCTACTTTTGCTACTTTTTGGCCAAAATTTCGCTACTTTTTTGGCCAAAATTGGACTACTTTCGCTACTTTTTAGCCCAAAATTGGGCTACTTTTTGCCCCAAATTTTGCTACTTTTTGGCTCAAATTTCGCAACTTTTTGCCCAAAATTGGGCTACTTTCGCTACTTTTTGGCCAAAATTGGGCTACTTTCGCTACTTTTTGGCCAAAATTTCGCTACTTTTTAGCCCAAAATTGGGCTACTTTCGCTACTTTTTGGCCAAAATTGGGCTACTTTCGCTACTTTTTGGCCAAAATTTCGCTACTTTTTGCCCAAAATTGGGCTACTTTCGCTACTTTTTGGCCCAAAATTGGGCTACTTTCGCTACTTTTTGGCCAAAATTGGGCTACTTTCGCTACTTTTTAGCCCAAAATTGGGCTACTTTTGCTACTTTTTGGCCAAAATTTCGCTACTTTTTAGCCCAAAATTGGGCTACTTTCGCTACTTTTTGGCCCAAAATTGGGCTACTTTCGCTACTTTTTAGCCCAAAATTGGGCTACTTTCGCTACTTTTTAGCCCAAAATTGGGCTACTTTCGCTACTTTTTAGGCCAAAATTGGGCTACTTTCGCTACTTTTTAGCCAAAATTTCGCTACTTTTAAGCCCAAAATTTACGCTACTTTTTAGCCCAAAATTGGGCTATTTCGCTACTTTTTAGCCCAAAATTTTTCGCTACTTTTTGGCCAAAATTGGGCTACTTTCGCTACTTTTTAGCCCAAAATTTACTTTCGCTACTTTTTGCCCAAAATTGGGCTACTTTCGCTACTTTTTAGGCCAAAATTGGGCTACTTTCGCTACTTTTTGCCCAAAATTTCACTACTTTTTGCCACTTTTTAGCCCAAAATTGGGCTACTTTTGCTACTTTTTAGCCCAAAATTTCGCTACTTTTTGCCCAAAATTGAGCTTTTTAGGCCAAAATTGGGCTATTTTCGCTACTTTTTAGGCCAAAATTGGGCTACTTTTTAGCCCAAAATTTCGCTACTTTTAGCCCAAAATTTCGCTACTTTTTGGCCAAAATTGGGCTACTTTCGCTACTTTTTGGCCAAAATTTCGCTACTTTCGCTACTTTTTAGGCCAAAATTGGGCTACTTTCGCTACTTTTTAGCCCAAAATTGGGCTACTTTTTGCCCAAAATTTACTTTCGCTACTTTTTAGCCCAAAATTGGGCTACGCTACTTTTTGCCCAAAATTGGGCTACTTTCGCTACTTTTTGCCCAAAATTGGGCTACTTTCGCTACTTTTTGCCCAAAATTGGCTACTTTTTGCCCAAAATTTGCTACTACTTTTTAGCCCAAAATTTCGCTACTTTTTGGCCAAAATTGGGCTACTTTCGCTACTTTTTAGCCAAAATTGGGCTACTT